CTGTCTCTCTCACTAACTCTGCCTGTCCAAAAAAAAAAAAAAAAAAAAAAAGAATTGCTATGTCTTATCGGAATACTGTTTCCTGTATCATTATGTAATGTCCCTTACCTCTGATAATTTCCTTTGGTCTAAAGTCTGCTGTGTCGGAAATGAATATAGCTTCTCTCACTTTCTTTTTATAAGTGTTAGCTCGGTATCTTTCTCCCTCCCTTTTAATTTGTATATAGCTTTATATTTAAAATGGATTTCTGTGGGGACCATTTGGTCTAGCAGTTAAGACACTGGTTAAGATGCCCATGTTCTATTTTGGAGTGCCTAGGTTTGATACTTGGCTCTGGCTCCAGATTCTAGCTTCTTGATAATGTAGACCCTGGAAGGCAATGGTGATGGCCTGGGTAATTGGGCTCCTGCCACTCATGTGGGAGACCTGGATTAACTTCCTGGTTCCTGGCTTTGGCCTCCAATACAGGCTTTGCCCTCCAGTACAGGCTGTTGTAGGCATTTGGGAAGTAAACCAGGGGGTGGGAGCTTTCTCTATCAACTAGATTTTAAAAATTTAAAGTATATTTATGACAACATATTGTTGGGTCTTGTTTTTTCGATCCACCGTGGCACTCAGTCTCTGCCTTTTACTTGGTGCATTTAGACCATTGACATTTAAGGTAATTATGTAGTTGAATATTATAATATTTTCCGAAATTCTTGGTCTGACAATTCCAATGTTTCCCCCATGTCTGACTCTGACTCTGATGCTTATTCTCTGTAGTGTTTTTTCCCTTTTAGTGTACCTTGTAATTTTTTGTTGAAAAATGGGCAGTTATGCAGAGGGCAAAATTAACTGTGGTAAGTAGGCTGTTAGTAATGTTGTGATGAAGTATGGGGGCCTGTGATTACGTCTCCATCTTTTGGTTAGCTTGGACTCTGAACTTCACCAGTGCTTCTCAGCTTCGCCCACAACCCTTGGGTGGGACGGGATGCCGGGAAGGGGGGTAGTTGGATATTAACCACTCCTCACGTGCCAGTCTCATCATCCCTGCTGCCCGTTGGGTGAGGCTGGTGGAAGTTTCTCCTGAAGGTGGGCCTTGTTAAGAAGAACACAGGGCTCCGTCATGTTTCAGAATGGTTCCTTTACCTTGTTCCTTGCTGGAATCATAAGGGATTTTTTCCCTCAGTGTCCACTGTGAAGATCTAGTGGAGCTCTTGGAGGTGGAGCTCAGAAAAGTGTGTGTGCCCCTCTCTCTGCATGGAGTTTTTAGCCCTCGGAGTTGTCTGTACTGAGCCTTCAGCATTTGTTTCTGAGGTTTAGATTCCTCCCCTGGCACTGGTTCCTGCAGAGGTTTCTCCTCTGGTCAGTTATGATTCTCTGAATCCCCCTATTTGTGCAGTTTTGGGGGCAGCAGTATGCCCATTACCTTTTTCCTTGTCAGGGTATAGTGGCATCCCATGTGGGTGCTGGCTCGAGCCCCAGCATCTCCACTTCTGATCCAGCTCTCTGCTGTGGTCTGAGAAAGCAGCAGAGGATGGTCCAAGTCCTTGGGCCCCTGCGCACAGTGGGAGACCTAGATGAAGCTCCTGGCTCCTGGCTTCGGCTTAACCCAGCTCTGACCGTTACAGCCATTTGTGAATGAACAAACAGAATGAACATATGTTTCCGTCTCTCTCTCACTCTCTCTCTCTTTCTCTCCTTCCTCCCAACCCTCCCTCCCTATAACTCCGTCTTTCAAATAAATAAACAAGTCTAAAAAAAAAAAAGAATCTGAATCTTTGTTTGGTAATGACAGTAGTTAGAGAGCTTGGGCTGGGAGTAGAGATTATTGTTGAATAACTGTAACAAAATGAGGCTTTTTTAAAAAAAAAAAACCTTTTTTTTAAAGATTTGTTTACTTGAAAGGCAGAATTTACAGAGAGAGAGAGAGAGAGGGAGAGACAGAGAGAGAGAGATCTTCCCCAAATGGCCCCAATGGCTTGAGCTGGGCAAGTCCAAAGCCAGGAGCCAGGAGCTTCTTCTGGGTCTCCCACTTGGTCCAAGCACTTGGGCCATCTGCTGCTGCTTTCCAGGCACATTAGCAAGGAGTCTGGATTGGAAGTGGAGCAGCCAGGTCTTGAAACATCATAGGCAACAGATTTACCCACTATGCCACACACCGCCCCCGAAAAATTTTTTTTAAAGAATCTTGGTAAACAGATGTTGTCTTCCTATGAGGTCACCCAGGACTTTGATGGATCTTCTCAGTGGGGTTGATCTTTGATGCTCATGGCCATTCCTAGCTATCTCCTTAATGGTAACAATCCCGTTCTTTGAGGGTGGATTTGAGTTCTCAGACTAACTGAAGGATTTTGGAGCTATGTTTGGCAAACCCAGTAAGTTGATGAAGATGGATATTATTTTGGGGTGTTTAAAATGAAGGTGCAGAGAAATATGTCTAGTTCCCATCTTTTCGGAAAAATGGGGGAGAACAAGACTTCAAGAATATATTTACATTTTGCTGTGTATGGAGAGAAACTCTGATCGAATGCAGAGAACCTGTTTCCCTGTGATAAGGAGGGGTCATGGAGTTGGGCAGAGGGCTGGAGACGGGTGGGGGTGGGGTATTTTCATTGACTACAGCTTTGTGTATGTCTGTTTTTGAGCTAAAAATTGAGATATGTTTTTTAAAGTTAAGTGTTTCTATAAAGCAAAGGCATTGTTACATTATTGGGGTTTTAGAGCCAGAAGTAATGCCTTGGTCTGTCTCTGACTTTGGAACCTACTGAGAACCTAGTGTTATGATTGATAGAGTTGATTGGATAATGTTATCCCGAGGTTGATCATTCCCTTTTGTTTTATATATATACGTATATATATATATATATATGTGTGTGTATGTATATATAAAACATATATATGTATATATAAAACATATATATGTGTAAATATAATATTCTCTATCTCAGTACTTTTTTGCTTGGAATTCTACATTGATATTAAAGTTGCTGCTGTACTGCTTTCCTTTTGAGCTGTGTGTGTTAGCTTTGCTTATGCTTCTGTTTTAAGGTAAGGTGTGCCTTTCTAAACAACACATACTTTTATTTTATTTTAAAATTCCATCTGTAATTCTTCATTCCTCAGAATTTTTTATGTCAAAAATATTTTTGCTTTTAGCACAGATACTCAGAGCAAATACATTTAGTGTTATGATTGTATCTTTCTACCCCTTTTATACCTCCCTTTGCCTTTTAATGTATCTATTGTTAACTTTATCTTACTTTTTCTGTAACTTAAAAGGCAAACAACCTACTTTTTCATTTTTATTTGAAAGACAGAGACACTCAGAGATAGATAATAAACAGAGTGCTCCCATCCATTGATTTACTCCCCAGATACCTACAGTGGCTGAAGCTGTGTCAAGCTAAAGCTGGGAGCCAGAAACTCAGTGTAGGTTATGATGTGGATGACCAGCTACTTGAGCCATCCCTCCTGCCTCCCAGGGTGCCCATTAGCAGGAAGCTAGAATTAGGAGTGGAGCTGGGACTCAAACCGTGTCATTCCAATATGGGATGCAGGTGTCGCAGCTGTCATCTTAACTAATAGGCCCAGCACTCGCCCCTATTTTTTTTTTTTGACATGCTGTATCAAAATTTATTAAATTATTTCTCTAGAATATACAGAAGACCAACTCAGTATACTAAGTAAAGATTTCAACAGTTTGCACCCACCTACACCATTAGGTATAAAGTACAAATTTAGAGCAATTTTTTAGTTATTTCTCATAGTACAGCTCATTAAGGACACATGGGGAGTAAGTGCACAGTGACTCCTGTTGTTGATTTAACAGTTAACACTCTTATTTTTGTGATCAGTGACCACCCAAGGCTCTTGACATGAGCTGCCAAGGCTATGGAAGTCTTTTGAGTCCACAAACTCTGACAGTATTTAGACAGGGCCATATGCAAAGTGGAAATTCTCTCCTCCCTTCAGAGAAAAGTACATCCTTTTTTGATGGCCCCTTCTTTCTTTTTCTTTTTTTTTTTTTTTTAAGATTTTATTTATTTATGTGAGAGGTAGAGTTACAAACAGTAAGAGGAAGAGACGGAGAGAAAGGTCTTCCTTTCCGTTGGTTCACTCCCCAAATGGCCACAACAGCTGGAGCTGTGCTACCCGAAGCCAGGAGCCAGGAGCTTCTTCCTGGTCTCCCATGCTGGTGCAGGGGCCCAAGCACTTGGGCCATCTTCTACTGCTTTCCCAGGCCATAGCAGAGAGCTGGACTGGAAGAGGAGCAGCCAGGACTGGAACTGGTGCCCATATGGGATGCTGGTGCCGCAGGCAGAGGATTAACCTACTGCACCATGGCGTGATCCCTATGACCCATTCTTTCCACTGGGATCTCACAGAGATCCTTCATACAGAACATTTTTTACCACTGTGTCTTGGCTTTCCATGCCTGAAATGCTCTCATGGGCTTTTCAGCCAGATCCAAATGCCTTAGGGGCTGATTCTGAGGTCAGAGTGCTGTTTAGGGCATTTTTCATTCCATGTGTCTGCTGTATGGACTGCTTCCCTTGTTGGAACTTTCTCTCCTTTTTAATCCTATCGTTATTACCAGACACTTGGTCTTATTTATGTGATCCATTTGACACTTAATCTTATCTATATGATCAATACCACACTTAATATCACTTTATCGTGTAAGATGCTGCCCCTATTCTTAATGCATATGGATTATTTTTTGATGTCACAAAAATTACACATAATTTATTCATTTATGAGTAAAAAATGAACAATGAAACGTTTATATAGTCTGCCTGTGTTAATCAGAAGAGTGTTCATTTGGTGCTATAAATGCTGGTCTGTGTGTTGATATCTGTCTGATGGCTTTCTCACCATACCTGCAGCCATCTTTGAATCTTTAAAGAGTCTGTTAATCCCTGGAACATATTTGTAATCCAAATAACGTTCCTGGCCCTGTGAAAGTGGGCCTTAATTGAACTGACAATTAGGAATTTTGACCATCTGTGTGTAGGAAGTGGAACTGTGTGCAAAAGAGGCCAAGTCCTTAAAGGCAGTGGAAGAATCTCAGTGCTTCCAGCTACAAGCAGTAGATCACTGGCCTGAGGAACAGTCCCAGAAGCAGTGGGTGAAGGATCCATGTTCTGATCTTCCCAAGCATCTAGATGCTAAGGTGGCACCACAGCCCTTGAAAGAGAGTGGTAAGTACCAAGAATCTGGGAACATCAGAGAAGGCAGCCTGTCTTGCTCAGGGAGAGGGGTGGGGGGGTAAGGAAGGGTGCATGGAGAAGAAGGATGTGTAGAATTCAAGGAATGGGTGGGATGGTGTCTGATGGACCCGGTTCCTGAGAAGTAGGGTCAGTGGCATTGTGAGAGAGGATGCAGCTCTCAGTGATGCTGGCACACTGTACTGTATCTGCAGGCAGGTAGCAGGTGCAGGCCGGGGCTGTGCTGAGCAGTAGTCACAGGAGGTCAGGGCTGCCATCTCACGCATGGCACACCACTCAGGATAGCTTAGGAACTACACATTCCAGAAGGGACGTAAGAGGGGGAGAGCTGCATGGCCATGGAGATGGTTTGGTCCAAGTATGGCTTTTGGAAAGCTGACTCTTAGAGGGAGGTGGTTTTGGGGGAACTAGAGCTTAGATTTCTAATCCATTTTCCCCCTCAGCTGTCCTCACTCCCCGAGTCCCTGCTGTCCCCAAGATGGGGAGTGTTGGAGATTGGGAGGTGGCAGTTGAGTCGCAGGTAAGTCATTTGCTCTTTCTTTCCTGTCATTACTACTCTTATTCTCTTGCCCCCCACTGGTCCTCCTCTCAGTCCGTGGCCTACCCTCAACAAAAGGCCACAATGCACATGGTGTTAGCCTTGTCCCTGTCTCCCAGCCTCCCTTTGGTTGTGCTGCTGCTTACATATGGTTCCCTGTTATCTTTCCTTGGGCCTGGGAGGGTGTTCAAGGGTCAGTGACGTTTGGGCTCCTTTTCTTGCACCCTCACAGGAAGCCCTGGGCCCTGGCAAACCAGCAGAGACGGAGTTCTGCAATGACCCCCTGGGAGATGACTGCGGGGACCGTGTGTGCCTGGGTAAGGAAGCAGTGCTGGTTTCTTCTGCTCTCAGTTCCCAAGGAATGCTTGGTCCATTCCCTTGTGAATCATGGCTCTGACATCTCTGGACTTTCAGAGACAGGGAGATTTGCCCTTTGTAGCTTATGCTGTAATGGCAGGGATGGAATCTTCCCTGATGGAGGCTGCAGGGTGGCTTCCAAGAGCCTGCCCTCTTGGGGCTCATTACCTTCCTTCCTTCAGGGGTTGCCTTGTCTGCTTTCTCAGAAATCCAAACTTCTGGCACCAGGTGGGTTCTATCTATCAGGGCAGGCACAAGTGAACTAAGTTCATGAGATGGATGCATTAAGCCGTGATGAGAAAGAAATGTCACAGGACTCAAATACTTGATGGCCTGCTGGTCAGCTCAGGCTCCTTTCTCTGTAGGCCCCCACACGGAGAGCTGCAGAATAATGAGAATTTCCTGTGGGGTTTGGGATCACTGAGAGGGGAGTTGGACTCATGGCTGGGATACAGTAGAGGGACTGTGACAGGTGTGACTCTTGGCAAGGTTAGATGTGAGAAGCTCGCTGGCCACTTGCTTGACTGTGGTTCACACAAGGGGAAATAGTGCTCGATACTCCCAACTTTGGCTGAACTAGATTGAAGCCTGTTACGGCGCTGGATGCTTTTCATCTGGTTCTCCTCAAGGACTTACTTTCATTGAAGGCTTCCTATTTTGTTCGGGCTGGGGGCTGTTGGGACAGCAATTTTTTAAGCTTAGCTGACTGTTTTACAAAATGAGGAAATTTACTTTGTCACATTATTAGACGTCTAGAGGAGGACATGCTCCAAGCATGATACACATGAGCTCAGCGGCATTCTAGTGGGCATGGTCCTTTCCTTCCCCACCGGCCTCAGGACACTGTCACAGTCAGAAGATGGATGCCAGTGGTGATGGAGGCCACACATCTCCTAGCAGGAGACTAGGACCTCCCCCACGCCCCCCGCACCTGCCACATACACTGCTCTCTATTCCATCCACAGAATTCAGTCTGATCGGGCCCCTGTAGGTCATGTGCCCATCTGTGGACCAAAGCAGTCACTCCTGTATGTGATGCATTCCATAACAACAACAGAAAAGCCAGTGAACAAAGCAAACTGCACACTTCCTGGTACTTCCAGTTACCTCTCCCCATCCCTCCAGACACTGTAAGGGATTGGTATTGGGATTTCTCGTCAGCCTCTTTCCAGGAAAGAATGTATGTTTTAGGGACATTTTGAACAAATGCTGTTCAACAAATCATTTCTACTCAGTCGTTGCTCTTCTTTTGTTTGTATAGGAGTTCCAGTTGCAAAACCAAGTGTCACCTCTCAGCAAGAGCAAGGACCAGAGTTTTGGGGCTTAAGCCCTGTAAATTCTAGGGAAAGGAACGCTACAGATTATAGCCTGGATAATGAGCAAACAGAAGCAGCCCCAGCATTGTCCTGGAAGGACTCTAGGGCATGGGAGGAACAATGCCAGTGGGATGTGGAGGACACGAAGGTGTCAGGTGTGCACTGGGGCTACGAGGAGACCAAGACCTTCCTGGCAATTCTCAGTGAGTCGCCTTTCTCTGAGAAGCTCCGCACCTGCCACCAGAACCGCCAGGTGTACCGGGCCATCGCAGAGCGGCTACGGGCTCGGGGCTTCCTGCGGACACTGGAGCAGTGTCGCTACAGGGTCAAAAACCTCCTACGGAACTACCGGAAAGCCAAGAGCAGCCAACCCCCAGGGACCTGCCCCTTCTATGAGGAGCTGGAGGCCTTGATGAGGTCTCGGATGACCGTCAGAGCCACAGACAGCCCAGGAGAGGCCATGGCACTCCCCAGGTTGGGGGACAGTGACGCCGAGATGGATGAGCAGGAGGAAGGGGGCTGGGAGCCTGAGGAAACAGCAGAATGCTGTAACGGTGCCGGCCTGGCCACCGAGGAGTCTACCCAGGGACACAAGATTGCAGGGGGCTCTAATCTGCTCCAGAGTCGAATTGGTAAGGACATGGGACAGCTTGATTGGATCCAGATTCCAGCCCTCCTGCCAGTCAGACTGCTGTTCCCTGAGGTCAGGGTGCAGACTGCAAGGCTGGGTTGGTGGTAGAATAAGGCACTCCTACTCCTCCTCTCTTGTTCTGGGACCAAGTCTCTTGGCTGGGTTTTCTTGGTTAAAGATGCAAGCACTTCTAAAGTGTTAAGGGGCCGTAAAAGAGGGAACTCAGTATTTCCCAAAGTGTGTCACTGGTAGTGTATGTGACTGGGGATGATCACAGGTGTTAGGTGAGTGAACTTGGAATTCTACTAATTCTATATTTCTCTTAATGTGTCTGAACACATTACTTAGCTAAAGAAAGATAGTGAAGTACTGAACAGGTAGAGCAGAAATCAGGACAGTGCAGAATAGAACAGACGATGTGTGGGGAGTGTCCAGTCGTTGAAAGATGGAAACGCTGGGGCCGGCGCCGTGGCTCACTTGGCTAATCCTCTGCCTGCGGTGCCAGCATCCCATATGGGTGCTGGGTTCTAGTCCCGGTTGCTCCTCTTCCAGTCCAGCTCTCTGCTGTGACCCGGGAAGGCAGTGGAGGATGGCCCAAGTGCTTGGGCCCTGCACCTGCGTGGGAGACCAGGAAGAAGCACCTGGCTCCTGGCTTCGGATCAGTGCAGCGCCAGCCGTAGTGGCCATTTGGGGAGTGAATCAACAGAAGGAAGACCTTTCTCTCTGTCTCTCTCACTGTCTGTAACTCTGCCTGTCTAATAAAAAAAAAAAAAAAGAGAGAAAGAAAGAAAGATGGAAACACTGACGCCCATGAGATGGAGCATCTGATCTGAAGACACAGAGGTAGGAGTGGAACCCATGGCCCCTGCCTGCCCATGTGAGGTGGGTTTTTCTGTACCCTACTGCATCCTGGGCCACATCATGTCCCCCGAGGAGCTGATATTGGACAGCTCTTTAGGGCTCTTTAGCGCCCATTAGGCCATCTTTAGTCAGGTTCTACTGTAGGGTTCTTTGAAGGCAGTTGTTGTCTTCAATCATTAGAGATTCTCAGCTGCCATGTTTTTTAAAAGACAAATTCATCAGGTAAATAGAGGATATTTTATTCAGAAGATAGAGGGAGAATCCTATGGGCCTTTCCCTGAACCGATCAGCTGAAGCCATAGGCGTGGGGTCACCGGATAGAATTGATACAGTATGGTCCTTCGTGTTCTCCCAAACAGCCAAGACTCACAGGTGTCAATAGAATCACTTAAAAGGGGGTGGGGTGAGATGCTCTAGCTGACTTCCCCCCCGCACCCATGGGAGCATTCTCCCGAGCCACCCTGGAGATTTCTGGATGCCTGGGTTCTGGGTACTTAGAAGGAGAGGTGACCCTGACCACTGATGACCTAGATAATCTCAGTAAGTCTCACACTTCTGAACTCTTCACTCCTGACAGCAGGTGTGCACTGGGGCTACGAGGAGACCAAGACCTTCCTGGCAATTCTCAGTGAGTCGCCTTTCTCTGAGAAGCTCCGCACCTGCCACCAGAACAGCCAGGTGTACCGGGCCATCGCAGAGCGGCTGTGTGCGCTGGGCTTCCTGCGGACACTGGAGCAGTGTCGCTACAGGTTCAAAAACCTCCTTCGAAGCTACCGGAAAGCCAAGAGCACCCATCCCCCGGGGACCTGCGCCTTCTATGAAGAGCTGGACTCACTGATGAGGGCTCGGACTGCAGTCAGGGCCCTGACCACTGTTAGGGAGGCCCCAGGGCTCCCGTGGTCTGGGCAGAGCAGTACTGAGACCTGGGCTGAGACGGCAGGCGAAGATGCCATCAAACCCGGAACTCCAGACACAGGTAAGCCCGGAGTCACTGTCTGCACACTGTGCAGGCATGTGGAAAGAGTGGGGGAGCCAGGTTCGTCGTCTTTTGTTTCTGAACTAAGAGAATGGGATTGAGTAGGGAAAAGGATTGTATTTTGCTTAAGTTGTCCAGTCTCTGACTTAGTGTGATCCCCTGTATGAGAAGTTACTCTAGCTTCCAGGGGTTCAGCCCGCCAATTACAGAGCTTTTCAGTTTGATATGACACAGGATATGTACTGAATGTACTAGAAGAAGGAAGTGTTCGTTATTGAGTAGTAAGACTGGGGAGACTGGCTGGCGGGTGCCTTGGGCTGGGCTTCCTGGCTCTCTGGGTGGAGTTACCACATCCCAGGCTGTGTCCCTCAGCTTTTGAGGTGAGCAGTGATTGTATATATCAGAACTTGATCAATTTCATGTTAGTGACATTTATAAGATGTGCGATACAAGATAAAAGTTAAATACATTTACCATATACAGGATCCGGACGGATAAGTAAATGCTAACGAGTGAGTTAACAAACGCTGCCTTTCCGTCCGTTCTTTCAGGCTTTGAGATGAGGTGTGAGGACGGAGATCAGACTTCAGAGCAGGACGCTGTGGAGGAGCTGCCTGGACATTTATCAGAATGGACTCCAGATGCGATTTGCCAAGCTGGTGACTGGGGGGATGACAGTGACAATGAAAACAATGGCGAAGGGGCGTGGGAAGACCCCCCAGAGGAACAGTGGGAGGAGTGTTCTTCTGAAGAGGACTTAGAAAAACTCATCGACCATCAGGGTCTGTACCTTGCAGAGAAACCCTACAAGTGCAACTCCTGCGTGCGGAGCTTCAGCCAGAGCTCCCCCTTCCTGGCTCACCAGCAGAAGCACACAGAGGAGAAGGCCTACGCATGCGGGGAGTGTGGGAAAGGCTTTCGTCACGGCTCCCACTGCAGTGCCCATCCAAGACTCCGCGCTGGGGAGCAGCCCTACAGATGCCTTGAATGTGAGAAAAGCTTCAGTGACCACTCCAGTCTCATTGCCCATCAGAAAACGCACATAGGAGAAAAGCCCTATAAGTGTGGGGAATGCTGGGAAAGCTTTAACAAGAGCTCGAACCTTCTGAAACATCAGAGGATCCACGGGGGAGGGAACCTGGACCCACGTGGTGAGCCTGGGGAGAACTTGGGTGGAAATCCATCTTGTAGCCCCCGCCGGAGGAGAGCCGCGGGGGAGACGGCCCCCGAAGAGCCTCCGCGTGTCAGGAAGAACCTGCGTGCTTCCGGGCTGCACGGCGCCAACTCAGGGGAGAAACTCTATCAGTGTCCGGAATGCGGAAGAAGCTTCTCCAAGAGTTCTGCCCTCATCAGTCACCAAAGAATCCACACAGGGGAGAAGCCCTTCGAATGTGGCGAGTGTGGGAAAAGCTTCAGTAAGAGCTCCACTCTGGCCAACCACCAGCGGACCCACACTGGGGAGAAGCCGCACCAGTGTGCGGACTGCGGCAAGTGCTTCAGCGAGCGCTCCAAGCTCATCACACACCAGCGAGTGCACACAGGGGAGAAGCCCTACAAGTGCCCCGAGTGTGGGAAGTTCTTCCGCGACCGTTCTAACCTCATTACCCACCAGCGGATCCACACGGGAGAGAAGCCCTATCAGTGTCGTGAGTGTGGGAAATGCTTCAACCAGAGCTCCAGCCTGATCATCCACCAGAGAATCCACACTGGGGAGAAGCCCTACAAGTGTACGGAGTGCGGCAAAGACTTCAACAACAGCTCTCACTTCAGCGCCCACCGCAGAACCCACACAGGGAGGAAGGAGTCCTAGGAGGCCCTCCCCCAGCTCCGAAGGCCATCAGCGTCTGTTTACGTCTCCCAAGAGCATAAGACACATGCTAGAAAGAACCCTTCCTGTTTGTAAGCTTGGTGTATGCCCAGGGAGGTTCTCTTGGTGTAATCCAGGTAATTTGGCAGCGAATTCAAACACTAAGGATCCATATTTGAAGGCACTTTCCTCAAGTGTCGTTTGTTTTCCTCCTGTGAAAAGCGCCACACCACACAATCCTCAGGCTGTCCTTGTATTTGCTGTGAGAGCTTTAGCAGTATTTGAGCCTAACTGCTCAAGTAGAGGATCAGGGTTAAACAGTGACCCCAGCACCGAGTTAGGCAGGGATTACCAACTCTTGCTTTGCCGTGAGTGTCCCTGTGCAACACCCCTCATCCACAGTGGCTTTCATACGTGGTGGTTTGCATTTGGGGCATGTCCTCCCAGAGAACTTTGAGACCTGCTGGGGAGAAAGGGGCACAATTGCACATCGATGGCTGAGAACAGTCCACCGTGAGCTCGGCAAAGTGTAGGAACAATCGTGACCCTGTTACAAAACCATTAAGAACAGTGAAAACAGCCAGTGTTTACTAAGCATCTGCTTTTTGGCAGGTTCTGGCTAAGCACTTTATATACATCATCTCATTTAGTCCCCACAGCAGCCCCAGGCTAGCTCCTGATGTTTTCCCCATTCCCCAAGGGAGAAAACTGAGGCCAGGGGGAGCTAAGAAACTTGTGAAGGTCACTCATCTGAGCGGGGGCGCAGCAGGAGTCCGGCAGGCCTGGCTGTCTCTAGAGTGACGAGCTGTTTGTGTAGGGCGGGGGACTCGGGTGCCAGGGCCTCCAATGCTTGGTGAATCACACCTGTTACTCCCTGGATTCTCCTTTGAACAAATGTGGAGATCCTCTAACGATGAAAGACGTTCAGCACTAGGGAGGTGGGATGAGCAAAGCTGAGCCCTTACCAGAGCACTTGTGAGTTTCCACCTCTGCGGTGCCATGGGCGAAGAGATACAGGTGGCCGAGGTTGGGAACACCACGTAGCCCAAGTGATGTTGCAGTGGGATTCTACGTTGGCTGAGCCAGTGGGGCTTAGAGTTTGCCCTTTCTCAGGGATCAGTCGTGCTTCTTGTGAGACCAAGGTTACACTTCCGGAGTCCTGGGGCCTTTCACCACTCCTCACAGCCCTGTGCTTCTGCTTCTCTTTGGTGTGGCGGGAGCTCTATTCCTGACCCCCATGCCAAGACTGGGGTAGAAGGAGTCGGTGAGTGTGGTTCTCGACTGGCAGAGGACTTTGAACACTGTCCACGTTCCAGGTTCTGGTACCATTTTATCCTGAGTCTGCTTGTCCCAGGTCCACCCAGTGCTTTCTGCATATTGATCATTCAGACCTACCTCCCACGTGGACAGGCTAAGTCAGAAAGGCTTTGGGCTCCAGAGATTCTCCTTGCAAGGGGTTTCATTGGGTTGTAAAGGAAAATCGCCCTCCTGACATCCCCCATGACCTTGAGGTGCCCTTCACGCCTGGGTTATTTTATGGTCTTGGGAAGTCCTTCCTGAAAATGGATGACTGGAAGGTTGGGGCTTTGTGTTCACATGTGAGGAAGTCAGAGGAGCGGCAGGGCACTCCACAGGTCACTCCGTAGCCCTTCCTGTGCTTCAGGACCTGCCTTCCTGAGGTCCAGCCCATCTGGGACCACCATCTGTCAGCTGCTTCCCAACACACCCTTCCTGGTTCACGTTATCTCACGGGCAGGGGTCATGGGATAAGTACCTACAAGGAAGTAGTAGTGAGAGAGGAAGTGTCAGGAACTGCAAGAGTAGGTGAGATCAGAGAGGAAGGGTCCCTGCAGTGGGCAGGTGTCATGGTGTGAAAGCAAGGATTCAGGGTGGGGCTTGGGGCCATGAGATGAGCACTATTGATATGTAAAATGGGGGTGGGGTGTAGTGGGAGCTGCCGTTGGAGGAGTTCTTGGGACAGGGTCTTGTAGGACCTTGTGTATGAGTGGAGCTTGGGCTCCAGGCTCAGGCTGACATGTTCTGGTATGCATTGTCAAAAGCCATCAGCCAGCCGGCGCCATGGCTCACTAGGCTAATCCTCTGTCTGTGGCGCCAGCCCCCGGGTTCTAGTCCTGGTTGAGGCGCCGGATTCTGTCCCGGTTGCTCCTCTTCCAGTCCAGCTCTCTGCTGTGGCCCGGGAGTGCAGTGGAGGGTGGCCCAAGTGGTTGGGCCCTGTACCCGCATGGGAGACCAGGAGGAAGCACCTGGCTCCTGGCTTCAGATCGGCACAGCGCGCCGGCCGTAGCGGCCATTTGGGGAGTGAACCAACGGAAGAAAGACCTTTCTCTCTCTCTCAGTGTCTAACTCTGCCTGTTTAAAAAAAAAAAAAAAAAGCCGTCAGCCTAATGGAACTTACTGTTAGGGTGGCCTGTTGGGATACTTAGGAATATTCCAGTTAGGAGTGAGGATCTGGCCTGGAGTAGCGACAGTGAAGGCAGATGCCTTGGGTGACTGGAGAACCTGTGTCATTCAGAACTGAGTGTGCGAGGTGCAGATGGGGCAGGTGGGCAGGAGGCCACACATCTAGTTTGGGCCATTTGGAATGTCAGGTGACCAGAGGACAGTTGGTGTTGCTGTGCATGTGGCTGTCTGGGCCTAAAGTAAGGGGGGAGGATAGGACTAGAGAGTTTCCTATGATAATGGTAGTTAAACCCAGGAAAGGGGGATTATGTTCCACATCAAAGAAGTGTTGGGCCTGAGACAGAACTTGATGGGGAGGAAGGTACCCCTCAAAGTATACTCCCCACACCTGCCACATCCTTCCAACTCCTGCCATTCTGGGGACACTGCCCCGCTTTCTGCTGACTCCTGAATTCTCCATGAATTTTCTGGAATGTTCACTGTAGAAGGCAAGCTGAGCTGTGGGTGGAAGTGAGTTGGTAGCCCTCTCCCCCTTGAGTGTCACCCTTCCCCCTGCTCTTGGTGCCAGTCTCATGTTTTCAGTGAACACTTTTGGTGTTTGTATTGTCTACTGTTCCTTTCTCCTAACTCTTAGCCATAGGGTCAGCCATGAAGGCAAGGGCAGTGTGGGCCAAGAGGGAAAGCTGAGGCCAGTGGTCCCTCCCCAGCCACCTGACTCTTCCTTTGCAAGGACTCCGTCAGGGAGTGTCAGTGTTCGGGGCCTGGGCCTTCACCTTGCTGGGTCACCCAGGCCTCCTCCAGCAGATCCGTGCTGTTCCAGCCAGGCATCTCGTGTCACACACCCTGGGCATTGCTCACGCGAGTCTGTGGGAAGGAGATTCACACTGCAGAGCCCAGTTCCTCAACTCACACAGCCACAAGGTCAGACTCTGGTTCCAGAAGCCAAGGCTGTGCGTGCTGTCCTGGGAGGGTGTTCTGTGTGAGCTGCCACAGGCAGGGCCGCCTCTCCAGGTGGCTGCAGCCCCTTCCCTGATTTCTGTCCTTTCCACTCCAAGAAGGGCTTTGGCTCCTCTGAAGTGACCCCAAGGCTCCTCCAGGCATCTGACTCCACAAACCCCTCAGGAGGCAGTGGACCCAAAGGCAGGGGCAGGGAAGGTGGCACAGGGCGGCACTGGATGCCTAGATTGTTCTTGGGCCTTGGCGTCATCACTGAACTCATGGTTATGGCCCCTCTGCCTTGCCCCTCCCATATGTAGCAGTGTGAAGTAACCGAGGTCCCCCTGCTGAAAGGTAGGACCCCTGGGTAGCACCTTTCCCTTGGGCCACAGAGGAGAGTGGAGGGGGAGAAACAGCTTTGGGCCCAGGCTGTGGAGAGTGTTGAGGTAGTGAGTGCAGTGATGTCTGGAGTGGAAGGGAGTGTGGTGGGTGGGCTCCCTCTACCCAGGCTGCCTGAGACTTTGTGCGCCAGGGTTCTGTCCAAGCTCCCATTATTTTTGCATTTTTTAAAAGTCATTATGTGGATGCTGATGACTTCAGATCTGTCTCCTGCTCTAGCCTCTTCTCGTGGGAGCCCAGCTGCCAGCAGGCCAACCCTGCCTGGTGACTCCCAGGCCCCGGAAACCCCAAGTCCACCTGCATCTGTTGTCGGTCCGTCCACCCCACCAGCTCAGCACACAGTGGCTCCCAGACAAGCCGCCTTCACATGCCCGAGAACTTAAAACTTCAGCCCCATCCCGGGCCCGTCTGCAGCTCCGTCTCCCTCCCAAGGGCATTCCAGTTGGGCTTCTCGCCTGGGAAGTCTCTGGATGAAGTCCCTGCCTAAAGCAGCAGCTTCCCTTTCCTGCAGCCTTGCTTCCTCCCTTTGGACATCCCTCAGCCCCTTTCATGTTAGCAGCAAACGCCAGTCTTAAGCCCCTGCCACAGTCTGCTGCTGCAGGAGGGGAGGGGCTGGTCCTGGGCTGGGTGCTCGACTTGGTCCTCTTTTCTCTTGCACAGCTCTGGGCTCTTCCTCTTCATCTCTTCACCTCCCGGCTTCGGCATTACCACTCGCACATCCGCACCATCATTCTTTGCCTCTCTGGATTGCAGCAAACCTGGAGTCGCCTCTAGTGCACTTTTGAGCCAGGGCAAAGGCTGGTCCTTTCCTTCATTGTTATTCCCCAGCCTCTGTCCCGCCTTTCCCTCTGTTGTGTCTCTCATCTGGTCCCTGTTGGCAACCCCAGCAGCCCCCTCCCATGCTGCTTGGAGGAAGAGGCAGGGAGCCCAAGAAGTCCTGGCTCTTCTCAGTGTGTGGTCAGTTCACCCACTTCTGAAAGCTGGGAGCCCCTTTAAGAACCACTTGGGTAGGGGCCAGCGCCGTGGCTCACTTGGTTAATCCTCCGCCTGCAGCGCCGGCATCCCATATGAGCGCCAGGTTCTAGTCCTGGTTGCTCCTCTTCCAGTCCAGCTCTCTGCTGTGGCCTGGGAAGGCAATGGAGGACGGCCTAAGTGTTTGGGCCCCTGCACCCGTATGGGAGACCAGGAAGAAGCACCTGGCTCCCAACTTTGGATCGGCGCAGTGCTGGCCATAGCGGCCATTTGGGGAGTGAACCAACGGAAGGAAGGTCTTTGTCTCTCTCTCACTGTCTATGACTCTACCTGTCAAAAAAAAAAAAAAAAAAAAAGAACCACTTGGTTAAGTAAAGGGTGGTAGATGGCAGATTCCAAGTAAATGAAATTTTGCCTAAACACTGGACACGCAGACGGGGGCATCACATAGACATTGCTTTTCCAGTCAGGGCATGGTTAGTGATTGTCTTGTGTGTAGATGATGCTTCCGAGCCTGTCTGCTCTTACCTGATCCTTACTCCTAAAGTGGCATTTATTTTTGTGCCATCTGGAGGGTTAGGGCCAGCAGAAGGGAGACTAGGAAAATAAGAATTTGGGGCTGGCATCACGACTCAATAGGCTAATCCTCCACCTGCGGCGCCGGCACCCCAGGTTCTAGTCCCGGTCTGGGCACCGGATTCTGTCCCGGTTGCTCCTCTTCCAGTCCAGCTCTCTGCTGTGGCCCGGGAGTGCAGTGGAGGATGGCCCAAGTCCTTGGGTCCTGCACCCGCATGGGAGACCAGGAGAAGCACCTAGCTCCTGGCTTCGGATTAGCGCGGTGCACTGGCCGCAGCGGGCCGGCCACAGCGGCCATTGTGGGGTGAACTAACAGAAAAAGGAAGACCTTTCTCTCTGTCTCTCTCACTGTCCACTCTGCCTGTCAAAAACAAAACAAAACAAAAAAAGAAAAATAAGAATTGGGTCTAAGGCTGGTCTTGGAGCACTGAGCCCAAGCAGGAGAGGAGCCACTGGTTGGGGCTGCCAGAGCTGTTGTCACTAAAGTCTTTTTTCAATTTTTTTATTTTTATTTTTTAAAGATTTGAGAGAGTTACAGTGAGAGGCAGAGACAAAGTTCTTCCATCTGTTGGTTCAGTCCTCAAATGGCTGCAATGGCCAGAGCTGAGCCGATCCAAAGCCAGGAGCCTCCTCTGGGCCTCCCCTGCATGTGCAAGGGCCAGAGGACTTGGGCCATCTTCCACTGCTGTCCCTGGCCATTAGCAGAGAGCTGGATCAGAAGAGGAGCAGCTGGGACTAGAACCGGCACCTAGATGGGATGCTGGCACTGCAGGTGGTGGCTTTACCTGCTACACCACAGTGCCAGCCCTGTCCCTAAAATCTTGAGAGTCACTGGGTCAGGAAACCCTAGTTTGGTGGCAGGCGACAAAAGTGACACAGAGGAAGAAAGTCTTCCTCCTTCCACACAGACCACGCCTTGGCTTCAGTGCTTTGGGATTTATAGGCAGTGGAGACCTCCAGGGGAGGTTAGAGGGTGTGCCCTGAAGGTGGTGGAGAGAGGCTGCTTAGAAAGCCCCACTCTTGGGGCCGGCATTGTGCCACCTGCAACACTAGCATCCCATGTGAGTGCCCATTGGAGTCCCTGCTGCTCTGCCTCTGATCCAGCTCCCTGCTAATGCACCCGGACAGCAGTGGAAGACGGCTCAAGTACTTGGGCCCCTGTACCTATGTGGGAGACCCAGATGGAATTCCTGGCTGCTGGCTTTGGCCTGTCCTAGCCCAAGCCCCTGGCTTCATTTTGTCCTTTATTCTTCTTTCTCTTCTTCCTCTGCCTCCTCCTCCTCCTCCACCTCCACCACCACCTTCTCCACTTCCTCCTCCTCCTCCTTCTTCTAAGATTAAAGATTTGTTTGAGAGAGTAATGGGTGGGGGGGATATCTTCCATCTGCTGGGCTCACTTCCCAGTTGGCCACATCAGCTTAGGTCTGGTCAGGCTAAAACCGGGAGCCTAGAACTCCGATCTGGTTTCCCATATGGGTGACAGTGGCCCCAGTACTTCTGCCTTCCCAGGCACACTAGCAGGAAGTTGGGTTGGAAGTGGAGCAGTCGGGGCTCGAGCTGGTGCTCATGTGGGATGCCAGCACTGGACGAGTCAGGTTGACTTGCAGTGCACAGTGCTGGCCCATCCTGTCTGTCTTTTTCCTGTGGTACTCTGAGCATCTCTTAAAGCTAGTTGGATCCTGTTTTGGGATGGGGTGGTCTGATAAGTTAGTAAGTTATATTAAACTACTGCCAGACAATAAAAAAAGGAACTTGTTTTGGATTCTTCTGGCATCACCCACAGAATGGAGACGGGAGGAATGGCAATAAATGGTGGAGGCACAGTGAGGCCGCTGTAGTAGCTCGCAGTTGAAGTTTGCTCATCCACGTTCCCTCCCTTCTCCTCACTGAGTGGGACAGGGTAGGCAGCTCTTCGCCTTTAGACCCTACTGTCCTTGAAATCTGAGCAGGAGTTGACTGAGTGCACTATTTCCGAATTTGACTTGCTTTGTCCAGAATCCTTGGGAAACCTGTTTCTCCCTGAAGTTCCAGAGTACAGCACATACTGTAGCAGTGATTGGGATGCACTCAAACTTCGTGTGTTGGGGACAAAGATGAGACCTGGGAGGGAACGAGGAGGAGGAAGCCCCAAGTCATGTTCACATGTTTGCGTGGAACTTCTCTCCAGTAGTGGCTCCGATACTGACCAGACCCACGGGACTTGCCTTCCTGGGAGATGGGACAGAGGCCACAGACGTCTTGTCCATGCTCTTGCTGTTAGCCATGGTTTGACCACAGGTAGAGCAGGCATAGAGGTCAGTTATGAAATATGGGGTCTACAAAGGCTGACCAGCCAGTCCAGGCATGAAGAACTTTGTTGTCCAAGAGGGTTTAATCTGGATAGCTGAAAGCTGGCCAGGGCCAGTGGGACTGAAAATGTGATACTAGGAAAAAATCCTGTGTGAGAGAGATGCCTCATGGACTGGCGCTCACCCCCCGGCAGCCCCCATGGCAGTATGAAGCAGGAATCTGACTTGCGGGGCCAACTTGCTCTTAGGTAGTAGGAACCATCAGGTGAGAGTGGGGTATCCTGGGGTTGAGGTCTAGGGAGGGGCGGGGCGGGGAGGGACCTGGTAGTTACCTGATAGGAGGGAGCTAGCTTGGGGGCAGAGGAAGGGCCGAGGGAAGAAAGGAGAGCAACTCAGAAAGCGAGGGGGTGGGTGAGGAGGGAAGAGGAACAGAAATGAGAAGGAGCAAAGGAGCAGGCGGGGAAGAGGTCACCAAGATAAGAAGGTGGGAAAAGCTAAGAGGTAGAGAGGGACCAGCTGTCGTCCAATGAGTGAGGGAGGCAGACGGCCAGGCTAGGTGGGAATGGGGCAGGCAGAACTGGAGAGGCAAGAGCAGGAACTGGAGCAGGTTGGAGGGGCAGGTGAAGCTGGAAGAACAGGAGGCAGCTGCTGTGGTTTCCAAGTGAGACGTGGAGGGCGGGCTGCACCGCTTGGCTCAACCTTCTGTATCCGCCCTCTGTTCCATTCTGTGACCCGGACTCCGTAGTAACCACGGTCCAGGATTCTCAGGCTGCAGTGTCCAAGATGCGAGCCACCAGCTACGTGTGCCGACTGAGCCCTCCACATGTGATGAATCTGCATTGAGATGTGTTGTGCACGTGAAATAGACACCAGATTTTGTGGACTGGTATGAGAAAAGAAGGAAAAGATCTCCATATTTTTTATATAGGTTTCATCTTGGAATATCTTGAAATAATATTTTGGATATATTAGGCACAATAAAATATTTATTGAAGTGAATTTCACCTGCGGCTTTTTCCTTTTAGAATGTGGCTACTGGGAAAATGTAAATCATGCACTCCACTTGCATTTGCAGCTCACAGGCTGTTCCTCTTCTTGGCACTGTTCTAGGACGTTTGAAGTAGAAAGACCCCCGAAAGCCTCATTTTGTAGATCAGGCAGTTAAATCCCAGGGGCCTGTTCAAGAGCACCCGGCGAATGTAGCAACCCCTGGACCAGGACCCGGGACTGTCGATCCCGTCAGTGCAGTTTCCTCCGTGAGCTCGAGCTGGCCGGACACAGCCTGTGCTGCGCACAGCTACGAGGGCGGTCACCCTCCTGTAACCACGCAAGGAGTACGAAAGGTGGACCTGCTGCCCCACACCTGCCTGCCTTCAGGGGCCTCGCTGTTGCTCTTGTAGGGAGGCTCCTTCACGATGGGCCACCAGGTGAAAGTGTAAGCAAACTTGACCCCTAGCAGCCTGTAGTTGATCCACGAGCCGGGACCTGGAAGGAAATATCTGCCTTTGGCGTGGGGTGAAGCAGAGGAGTCGCAGTCTTTATCTCCTATCATTCCTAGTTTTCAGAACCTTTTCAGAGCTTATCTCATTGACACCTACGGGGAAGCTTTTGAGTGAAGATGCTGGGCCTGCTAAGGAGGGGAACTTGTCCCGGAGCCTGCAGTCTGATGAACTTGGAGCCGGAAGAGCAGAGGCCTCTCGCCCGGGCTTGCTGGCCGCTGGTCTGCTGCTCTTTCTCCTGCGGGATCCAGAGGCGGGTCACACTGCCATCAGGCACTCTTCCGCACCCAGGACTTTGCGATGTTGATTCACCCCCGGTTTCTGTAGGATCCTAGGGTGTGGGAGATGGACTTTGATACGGGCCTAGCACGTCTCATCCATAAGAACGCCCTATGTCAGGGCCGAAGTCTGCCCCCAGCACTGCCCACCTGAGAGTGCTGAATCTCCCAACTCAGTCCTCTTGGTCCTTGCCGGTGCTGCGTGTGCTTCTGCGAGGGCTCGGGCTCGGGCTCCACAGCCCTCTCCCGGACCTTGTCTTCAGTCCATGGCAAGCAGAGTTCCTACAGATGAACTCCATGAGACCGAAGCACCCAGGGTCAGGACTGCCTGCCTCTCCCGGGCCTCCCTCACGTGGCTGGTTTTACCCATCATCGCCTCCTAACGCCTTGGCTGCTGCCTCTTCCCACTTCAGGCTCCTGCCCGCCCCTCCAAACCTGTCCATCCAGCCCTTCTGAAATCATGCTCCATGTTGACCAACACACCCCTCACCCCCCATAGTCTGTCTCTTACCCTCTTCTGTACCAGTTGACCTTACTGAAGCCTAGCTTTTTCTGGCGGATCCTGTATCTTTGCTGGCCTTTCCGAAAGGAAGCTGCCCCTGGCTCCCAGCTCAGGTGCCTCTTGGCATGGAGGCAGGGTTGCTGTCCTCAGTGCCTGCTGCTGCCTGCAGAGCGTTGCTTCTGTTCCTTCCTATGCATTTGACCACGGGGCTGGCGTTGTGGCACAGAGCGGGGTAAGCTACGGCCTGCACTGCCAGAATCCTCTAGCTGGTTCGAGTTCTGGCTGTTCTACTTCTTATCTGGCTCCCTACTAATGCACCAAGGGCTTGGGACCCCACACCCATGTGGGAGACCCATGTAGGCGACCCATGTGGGCTCCTGGCTACTGGCTTCTGGCTTTCGCCTGGCCCATCCATGGCCATTGCAGCCATCTGGAGAGTGAACCAGCAGATGGAAGAGCGCTCTCTCTCTCCCTCTCTTTCTATAACTCTTTCAAACAATAATTAAAAAAGGATCCAATAGCTATAAAGGGTCTGAGGGCCAGGCACGATTTGGGACTTTAGGTAGCTGACCGTAATTTCAGCCTCCCCCAACTCAGTGAGATAGTTTCATTAGCATCCCCATTTTACAGTGGGGCTGTGGAGATTCAGGACAAGTTGCTTGAGTAGGAAAGCCCAGATTCCAACTCAGCTAGTTTGGGTCCAAGGCCTGAACTCTTAATACCACTCTACCATAAGGCCCTTTGGAAGTCCCTGTTCTTTCAATGCCTATGCCATTCATCTGTATCATCAAGAGTCTTCCGCTGGGGGACTGGCACTGTGGTGTAGCAGGTAAAGCTACCGCCTGCAGTGCCAGCATCCCATATTGGTGCCAGTTCATGTCCCAACTGCTCTACTTCCAACCCAGCTCCCTGCTAATGGCCAGGGAAAAGCAGCAGAAGATGGTCCAAGTGTTTGGGCCCCTGCCACCCACATGGGAGACCTAGAAGCAGCTCTTGGCTCCTGGTTTGGCCCAGCCCTGGCCATTGTGACTATCTGGGGAGTGAACCAGTGGATGGAAGTTCTCTCTGTCTCTGTCTCTCTCTCTGTCTCCCTCTCTCTCTGTAAGTATTTCAAATAAATAAATAAAATCTTAAAAACAATAGTATCCCCCCGTGTCTGGGTCAGCTCTCACTTCCTGCATGTTCTGCAGTCATCCAAGACTTCCTCCCCTGTTGGCAGTCTTCCTCTACCCCCCAGCTCTTGCTGTCACCCTGGCTGACTCTGCATCCTGCAGAAGGGCTATGTGGAAGGCCATCTTTGATTTCATGGTTGTTTCTACCACTCCAGCTCGAACATATCTTGTTCTTGACCCCACCTGTGACAGCATGAATTCAACTAATTTAGACACCCATCTCTCTCCTGAGCTGAATATTTGCATAAACAATTACTGGTATCCCTTCTGGGGGATGACATATCCATTTAATTTCTCCAAGCCTGCTCTCCAGCCACCCACCCCTTTTCCATCATTCGCCATCATCCACCTGGTTACTCAAGGCAGACATCCAGGAGTCACCCGAGCCTTCTTTCTCCTTCTACATTCAGCCCGTCACCAAATCATGTGAAATCGGTCTCTGAGATATCTATCATAAATCCTTCCATTTCTCGCCATTCCTAATAATTACCGCCTTCATCCTGGCTGCCATCGCCCCCACCTGGCTGCTGTTGGTCCTCTTACTCGTGCTCCTGCAGCTACTCTTGGCTATCTTCAACCGAAGCTGCAAAGAAAACCGAGTCATGCCATTCGGCTTCTTGTGACAGGTGCATGATTTTGCACTTGCCTTGGGTCATGCACTGTTCACACACCAGCCACCTTGACCTCCCTTCAGTTCCTCCAACAAACTTCGCACAAGTAGTTCTCATTACTTCCAGAGCTCTTCCCCGCATTCACCACTCACACTCATCCTTCAGGTCTCACTTCAAGTCACCAAAATGCAGTCACTCCTGCCTCAACCTCGGGTATCGCCTGCTCCCACTGATTCCCACAGAACACTCGTTGCAGTCTATTAGTCCCTGCTTATTTCTTAGTGTTTGTGCTGAGCACTGCTGGTCTTCCTTACAAGCTCTGGGTAGCTAGCGCCTTCCGTGGAACCCATGTGCCCCAGGCTTCCCCTCTGTTAAGTTGCAACATGCTCATGCTTCGTACAAAGGCAATCCCAACCCCCTTGATCCATGCTCCTTCTAGGACTACAGTAATAGGACTATCAGAGATTTGCCCATCTGTCAGTAGGGGATGGAGCCTGGGTGGGGTTCAGTGCGCGCAGAGCCTTCTGGAATTGTCACGGTGCCTCCACATGGAGTTTAATTCCCATGTGGCCATCATGGCATTTCCTCCTTCCTGGTCCCAGATAGGACACAGGTGCATCATGGGAAAGAAGGCAGGTAAGGGGATCAAGTTACTATGCAGGGCTGCAGGATTTGAACCCAGGCTCTCAGATATGGGATGCAGGTGTCCCAATTAGCATATTAACAACTGTGCCAAATGCTGGCCTCCAAACTCTATACCTCCTTTTTACGTCCTCTCCTCAGCCCTTGGAAACCACCATTCTATTTTCTGTTTCTATGGACTGACTGTTCTAGGTACCTCATATACATGAGGTCCGGCAGGGTTGTCGTTTTCTGACTTGTTTATTCTGCTTAGCATAACGTCCTCAGGTTTCATCCATGTGACAGCATGTGTCAGAATTCCCTTTTTATGGCTATGTACTATTACACAGTACGTTTAGACCACATTTTATATAGCCACTCATCCACGGATGGACATGGATGGCTCCTTCTACCTTTTGGATGTTTTCAGTAATACTGCCATGTCTACACAGCTCTCTTCATGACCCTAACTTTAATTCCTTCAGACATACTCTGGAGCGCAGAATTGTTGGATAATATGGTAATTTCATTTTTAATTTTTTGAGGCACAACCATATGGTTTTCCACACCTGCTGCACCATTTTACATTCCCACAGGCAGGGCACAAGACTTCCAATTTCCCTACCTCCTTGCCAGCATTTGTTATTTTCTGTTTTTTTTTTTTGATAGCAGCCATTCTAATGGCTGTGAAGTGGTATCTCATTGTGGTGTTGATTGGCATTTCCCTCGTAATTAGTGATGATGACGATCTTTACACACCCCTGTTGGCTACTGGTGTATTTTATTGGGAAAATGACTTCTTTTGTAGGAGTTCTGTATGTTTTGGAGGGTTCATAGTCCTTCCTGATCTTGGACATTAACCCCTTAGCAAAGACACGATTGGAAATATTTTCTCCCATTCCACAGGTGGCCCTTTTCACTCTGTTGTCTTTTGGTGCACACAGAAGTTTTACATTTTGATATAGTCTAATCGATACACTTTTTTTCTTTTGCTGCTGGTATGTTTGGTGTCATAGCCAGGAGTTCACTATCAAATCTAATGTCATGAAGAGGTCCCCTGTGTCTTCTGGCAAGGCTTTTATAGTTTTAGGTGTTACACTGGGGTCCTTGATTCATTCCGAGCTGAGCTTTGTGGGTGGTGGGAATTCTCAGCAGGTGGCACTGGCAACATGACACAGCTAAAAGCGACTCGCACTTCTCCACTCTTGGACTGTGGCCGGAAACGTTCTCTTTCCTCTTCACCTTCCCCAACACTCACCCTTAGCCATGAAAGAAGCCATAAAGAATGTAAGAAAACCAATGCAAAAATTTATATTTTATTTGAATTCAAAAAATTTAAAATTGCTTTCAAATTCAGGAAAGTACCATAATGCAGGACCCCAGGGGGAAGCCTCACAGACAGAGACAGATAAATTAAATGCATATACTGCAGACAAGCCGGGGGAGGTGTAGATTACATATTTACAGCACTTGATGTTTTCTGAAAACCATATTTATACATTTTATTACATTTACAAAAAAAGGCTTCCACTACCGTTTACCTACAATAATGAAAAAAAATGTACACCTTTTTTTTTCTTTTTTGGTACTGTACAAACTTTGTATAATAAAAATATATCTCTGTACAAAAGATTTTTTTGTTCATTTTTGTTTTACTTTTTTTTTCTCATGGGATGGCGGTGGTGGGCCTATGGCGTGATCGGCAGGGGAGGGGCTTGTTCTGCCCTGCTCCTTTCCCAGCCTCTGCAGGTGGAGAGAAATGCCGGGGGGGGGGGGGGGGGGGGCGCACAGCAGAGTGCGGGGCCCCAGCAGCAAGTGCTCCTTGGGCATCTCTTGGACTTGACAAGGAGACACAAGGATCGAGAGGTGGGGGGCGGGGGGCGGAGAGGGAGTCCACAGGTGGTCTGAGTGAGAGTACGAAGCTGGAGGGCAGCAGCCGGAGAGCTTCCTGCGCGTGTGTCCAGGGAAGGAGAGAGGCGAGAGTGTGGGTGCCTGGCTTGGTCCTCTCCCACCGACCCAGAGATGCTGCATCCCAGCGTGGGTGCGGGCAGGAAGGGGCTCCCGCCTTTGTCTGTCTCCACTGTATCTGCTGGAAGCTAATGTGTCACTTCACTAGGGCCATCTCAACAGCAGAGCCCGTGTCCCCACCTCTCCAGTCCCACAGGACCCGAGGCCAGGCATGTCACACAGGCACAGGTGTGGACGCCTACCGGGACCTTCCCAAGGACAGAGCAGGTGGCTTCCCGGCAGTCCTCGTGGGGAATTCATGGCTGAGCCATGCACACAAAACTGTGAGAATCAAGCAAAGCCACTTGCAAGCAGCGGCACAGGGGTGACTTCCCTCCTCCCAATCTTTTGATTCAGAAGCTCCTGTGTCCTTGGTTGGCTGTGGGCAGGGGCTGCTGGGAGCCAAGGGACCAGCACCGGCTCCAGGAGGCCTGGGGTCCTGGGTCCTTGTCCTGATGTTGCCCACGTGCCAACAGCAGAACCCAGATAGGACACACGGGTCCCCGGCCCAACCTGCCAGAGCTGGCAGAGTGCTCCTGTGGGGATTCATCCACTCCTCCCTGCATTTGCTGTCCCCTCTAGACCTGGGTGTCGGGCAGCTGGTGTAGCGGGGTCAGACCCATCGGCATTTGTACTGACTCCTCACTTCCTGACCTTTCCTCGCCTGTACCTGCTGGTGGACCGGAAGTAACCGCTGAGAAGCATCAGGCAGAGCAGAGGAGCCGTCATTCGCTGGGTCCTGCGGCAGGCTGGCTCCTCTGTCCTGCCCGGGGCCTCCCGGCTGCCTCCAGACCTGGCGTCCCCGTCTGGACCACAGACAGTCTCCTCTTCCGTTGGCTGACAGATCTGAGCTTGGGATCTTGGCAGATTCCTGCCCTGTCTCCCTCAGGCTCCCCCTTCTCCCATGCTGCCCAGGACCCAAATGACTTTTTAATTCCTTGGGTTCAGAACTCAAGGCAATGATGTTTGGAAAAAAATAAAGAAATTCCTTTCCAAGCTGTTTCTGAAGATTCCCCCAGGGCCCCCGGGGCCATCTTGCTGTCCCTGTCCGCCCACAGACCCTGGCTGCCGAGTGCCGGCCAGCAAGGGATGGATCTCGGTACTGCATTCACCAGGTTCTCACATGTGGGACGCCGGAGGCCACGTTGGGTCAGAAGCTGATCGTGCCCCTCCCCCCAGCCCCTGCCTCTTCTCTGTGTCTCTGGAGCAGGGCTGGGCATCCTTGCCACACACATCTCTTTTTATCTTTTATGGCCTCTTCCATGCGATGCAAGTGAAGGGGAGGAGCGTGTGTGTGTGCTCAGTCCCACACACACACACACACACACGCACATCCACAAACTGCTTTGCTTGTTTTCAACCCATAAACTCCCTTCCTCTGTCTGCAGCCCGGCTTCCTTGACTGTCCGCAGCCAGGGCACGGCGGGAGCCCCTCTCCAGGGTGGCAGACGCAGAAGGTGGCAGGGCGAGGGCCCGAGTCCCAGCAGTGGCAGACACAGGCGGAGAGACGGACGGAGATGGGGGACTGGGCGCTGTGCTCAGGGGGCTCCTTCCTGCCCCCCGGGGAGCTGGGGACAAAAAGACCACAGCAAGGTTTGCACAAGGAGAGTGGGGTGGAGGAGGAGCTGGGGAGCAGAAGGCAAGAGCAAGGAGGCAGGGCCAAGGAGACGGTGGGGGGGGGGTGGGAAGAACAGGCAAACATCGGCTGTCTCTCTCCTCAGCTCTGCTTTTCGGTCTCCGCCAACAGGGACAGGGCGGGGCGTGGAGGGCACACAGGCTTGGCTTGCACTTCCGTCTCCATCAACACTTCAAAGACCTGACTGAAACTTCGCAATTGGACGTATTTAAGGGGGACAGTGTGATATTTCAATACATGTAAACAAAAATGATGGCTAGAGGTTGCGGAGTGGATGGGGACGCCTTAACCTTAACTGTGCCTGACCGGCGGCCTCAGGCTCCTCCCCATCCTTGTTGACACAGGGGCTGGAGGCCAACACCCCCCCTTATTAGCCTCATGAACTTGGTCAGAGTCACCGTTAGGCACCTGTTTTGCATTTTCTCATCTGTAACGGGGATGCTAAGAGTATCTTACTCCCAGGTGGTGTAGGGAATCATTGAGCCTGCGCCGCCACGTATCTGGGAAGTGCCTGGTGCACAGTCCTTGTGCGTGTGTGTGTGTGTGTGTGTGTGTATGTGGGTGTGTGTCAGCGCCCCCACGCCCGCCCAGGCACCAATCTCTGCCATCCCATCTCAGGCACCTCCCACTCACCGGCTGCTGGAGGCGGGGCTCTCGGTGGCGGTGGGGCGGCAGCCAGGCCTGGGGGCTATACTGCAGTACACACCGTGCTGACCGTGAACTCCGCCTCGCTGGCCATGATGTCCGTGGGCTGGATGTTGCGATCATACATTGGGTTCTCAAACGTGGCTCGAACGTTTGTGTTCTCGTGGCCCGCGTAGCCGTTGAAGGGAACCTTGGGTCTTCTCCTGGGAGGGAGACAGCACGGGGTGGGGCCGTGAAGAGGGGAGGCACAGCAGGCTCCTTGGGGCCTTTTAGTCCTCACAGCTCTCCTGAGCTGCCAAGGCTCCGGGTGGCTTTGGGTCGGGGCATCACCCTGCCTGCCCGGCCGCCTCCCACGTGGGTACCTGTGTTTGTAGAGATATAGCACGAAGCCCGCGATGATGAGGGCGATGAAAGGCACCAGGATGGCAGCGGCCACCGAGCTGCTGTTGGAAGCAAAGTGGCGGCCGATGGACTCGGGGTCTGACTCCCACAGCCTGAGGTCTGCAAAGGCCCAGAGCATTAGAACTCAAGTCACAGCGCCACAGCCCGAGGCCCACGCACCCCGGCATGCGTGGCTGTGGCCGGGGACGCCACCTGGAGTCTGCCCGCCCCTGGGGAAGGGTGCTAATGGCTGCCACGCCCCGGAGGCCGGTGCTCAGGCCCTGGGAATGCAACGTGCGGGAGACAGGGTCTCAGAACCGTCTTCCGAGGCTGCCACGCCCAGCTGTCCTTATCCTTGGCACTATCCCAGAGCTTGTATTAGACCCTCAAGCACCTGCCTGGCCCCAGAGAGGATGAGAACCCCAGTGGGGCCTTCAGCACCGCCCCCCCGCCCCACCCACCCCAGCCCCCTGCTCGGGACAGACACCAGTTACCGAGTCTCTGAAAGCCGAAATGCCCGAAGCCTTGGCCCTTGACGGAGCCTTGGTAGATGAAGGTACCTCCAGAGGACTCGGAGGAGACCTGGGAAGTGAGGAGCACAGAGAGCGAGAGGGGAGGCTGTGGAAGGATCTAGAACTGCTGCTGACACGTTCAAAGGTAAAGGCTGCCAGACAGGCCAGGGTCACCACTGACCCGGCGCGGCAGACGGGTGACAACTTGCCCACCCCCCGGCCCTGGCCGGCCTGAGCGACCCACTGAGTTGGGCCAGGGGCACTCCCACTTGGATGAGGTGGGGTGAAAACCTTAGTTTTTACTGCTCAAATCACGAAATCTGTCCCTGCCTGTTTCTCATTGTCAGGTGGGGAATAAGAGCCACACCTGTGTCATGGGGTTGTTGTGAGGGTTAAATGAGCTCACACAGAGAAAGCACTCAACTCGGAACAACCAGGCACACCCATGGGTGCTGATATTCCCGACGTGAATGAACAGCCTTTGGAGCGTGACAGACCAAACAGAACCTTGACTAAACTGTGCCAAGTGCATTGAGCGCATGTGGGACACGAGCCACCATTCCAATGGCCGCTATTTGGCTCACAATGGCCGACACAATGGCTCCCTGCCCCCCAGTGCTGCTGTGCCTCCATGATGCTCGTGTGACACGTGGCCTGTGGCCTGAGCTTTGAGGATACTCCAGGAGGCTTCCCCCTGCTCCAGTGCCCGAGGGCTGCCTTCTGTCTACCATGCCCTAAGCGGGCTTCCCCATCTTGTTCCTCCAACACATGGCTGGCTGTGGAGGGGGCCCTGATGGCCAGTGGTCGTCCTAGGCACTGGCTGCAGCTGCTGCTGGCCCTCCAGAGCCCACTCTCATCTTGGCCCTGGCCTACACGCCCAGCTCCACGTCCCAACTTTGACCCTTGTTCTCGCACGTCCAGCGCCCCTCCCAGCATGGTGGATGGCAGAATCTCTTGTTTCTTTGCAGAGTTTGCACTGCCACTGTCGGAGCTGGCGGCTACCTCCGGGCATACAAAAGGCCTGTGTGTGCCAGCCCCTGGGGAAGCCAGATGGTTCTCTGTATAAATAAGGCAATGTCACTCCAGTCACAGTGCGCTACCAGCTGGTCCCGTTGGGGAGGATGCACTGTGACCCCTCAGCTCTCTGCCACTCGGGCCCACTATGATGTCACCCTCCTTCCCACCCTCCTCTTCTAGTGCCAAAAACCCAAGGCCAGGGTATTCAGGGCTGCCACCTGGGAGGCAGGGGTACATGGCTGTGGCACCCCCTTCCACCTCCAGAATGCCCTAGAACGCAATGTCTTTCCCACCGCAGAATGCAAGGCTCCTCCCGCCCCCATGTCCTGGTCTCTCAAGCTGTGCTAAGTCACACTGTGTGCACACCCTCAAGAGAGAGTGGACGCGACAGGTGCTCCTCTGGGACTTGGCACCTCTCCCGGTCCCCACCACCACCACATCCCCACTGCACTCCCTCCCCTCGCCGCCGCTTCCCTTTCTGGAGTTTCTGTTACTCCTGGTCAGTTGTGGTCCCAAAATACCACATGGAAAATTCCAGAAATAAACATTTCATAAGTTTTAAATCACGTTTATGTTACATTGTAATTGTTCAACCGTACTATTAGGTTTTGTTGGTCTTTTTACTGTGCCTAATTGACAAACTAAACTTTCTCACAGGGAGAAACAGGTTCAGGACTGCACACAGCTTCTAGTACCCACTGGGGGCCCGGGAACACACTCCCCTGGGCTGAGGGTCGGGCTCTATGCCTGGAGTTCGCTCCCGTCCCACAGGCTCTCAGCCCCGTGCTTCCTGTTCCATCTCCCTCCGCCCTGCTGCCCCCGGACTCCTAGTCCCCCTCTGGCCTCCTCCCTTGCAGAGGGGGACGCCTGTCCCCAGCCCTGGCCCCACGAACCCTCCAGGCGAGTTTCCATGGGGCCCCTGGCATTCCCACACTCTGTCCTCCTCTGCCCGCAATCGGGGAATCGGGGCTGGGGTGGGGACGAAGAGTCAGTGAGCCAAACTTACGTGCCCGTCCAGAGCCCAGTGGTCGTCTCTGAACTTGTTCACGAAGATCTCTGCAGGCCCCATGATCTGGTAAACGTGGAGCAGGAGGTGGAAATCTTCTTTCTTGTAAGTTCCTGGGGAGAGAGAGACCAGGGAGTGCCCACACGTGTGGCTGCGAGTGAGTGGAGTTTCACCCGTACGTTGAGATAAGTGACAGTTATGTACAGCGTTGGGTGGGAGGCGCTCTGTGGGCTGAATGTGAGTATTGGCAAGCTTGTGCACACATGTGTTCACAGCTGGGCTGCTGGGAGCAGACTGGGAGCAGTCTGCTCCCAGCAGCCCGGGGTCCTGGTCACACACGCCCAGCTGAGAAGATGACTGTGTTTCCACCTGCTCTTAATACACATTCATGTTTACAACTCGGTGGGTGCCACAGTACAGGACGGCAGGTGCATGGGAGAGGGCCAAGGTGTTTATGACTGTGTGCTGGAACAAATGAGTGAAGAATGTGACTGTGGAATTGTGCTGTGTGTGCACATGGGTGGTGTGTTAATCTATTCAATGAACACTTGGTTTCTAAGAGATGTAGTTTTTCTGATTATGGAAACATTGAATATTGGGGAAATTTTGGAAAATGCAGAAATCCCTGAAGAATCTGTCTAACACTAAGAAACTACTACTATTGACATTTTGGTGTAAATATTTCCTGATTTCTTATGAAGATAAACTTTGCCTTTAAGAGACTGAGGTCTGGGACTGGGGCAGCGGGTCAAAGACCTGGCCTGAAGCACCCACATCCCATATGGGTGTTGGTTCTAGTCCTGGCTGCTCCTCTTCTGATCCAGCTCTCTGCTGCGGCCTGGGAAAGCAGTAGAAGATGGCCCAAGTGCTTGGCCCCTGCACCCACGTGGGAGACTCGGAAGAAGCTCTTGGCTCAGCTCCAGCCATTGCAGCCATTTGGGGAATGAACTAGTGGATGGAAGACCTCTCTGTTTCTACCTCTCTCTGTAACTCTGTCTTTCAAATAAGTAAAATAAATCTTTAACAAACAACAAAAAAGAGACTGAGGTCTTATTTTAAATGCATCAGGGTGCCTGCACATCCCCTAAAATTGATGTAATATTGTACTTAGTGGAAATACTAAAATTAAAATTCTATTTCTTTATTTCTGGGAAATTACCTATTTCCAATTTGTATGCAATGGGGAAAAGCCCTGTAAAGTGGACATCCTTTATTCCTATGTGTTAGGCTCCCTCTGTATCCGTGTCTTGGGACAGACAGTGGTAGAAGTGTAATTAATGGATCCAATCAGTTTCCAAGATCTGGATACAAACTGCTGACTTGTTTTTTAGAATGGTACTGTTTAATCCTCTGACCAGCACTCAGGTTTACTGATTCCAAAACTCTTGAGCTGATGGGATGAAGTGGAACATGACATTTGTGTTGACTTGTTTTTTGATCAGTGCTGAACAATATTCTTGCCTTTGTTCACTGGCTGGCTGTGTTTTGGCTTCTGGGAATTCCCTGCCTCCTATTTTTGACCTCTTTTCTCTTTGCTTAAAAAAGTGCTTTCTGCCGGCGCTGTGGCTCAATAGGCTAATCCTCCGCCTTGCAGCACCGGCACACCGGGTTCTAGTCCCGGTCGGGGCGCCGGATTCTGTCCCGGTTGCCCCTCTTCCAGGCCAGCTCTCTGTTGTGGCCAGGGAGTGCAGTGGAGGATGGCCCAGGTGCTTGGGCCTTGCACCCCATGGGAGACCAGGATAAGCACCTGGCTCCTGCCTTCGGATCAACGCGGTGCGCCGGCCGCAGCGCGCTGGCTACGGCAGCCATTGGAGGGTGAACCAACAGCAAAGGAAGACCTTTCTCTCTGTCTCTCTCTCTCACATCCACTCTTCCTGTCAAAAAAAAAAAAAAGTGCTTTCCACACTCAAGGTACTAGTGTTTGTCAGCTGACCATTTCTCTTTAGTCCAAGGTGCTTTCGTCACGCAAACAGTCCCCTCCTCTTCCCAAGAGGCAAGGCAGAGCCTTGCATGATAGCGCCATGCCATGATACCACACTCAGCCTTGGAACGGGCACTGCCCACCACCCTCACCGCCCACCTTACACTCAGGACACGGCTTGCTTCTTACCAGCCAAGTGCAGCTCCACACCACTGTGGTCAATCATGGTGGCGTTGACCTTGCTGTTGGCCACCTGGAGGCCAGTGACTTTGAGCATGGCCGGCTGCTTCTTCCCTTGGTACTCATAGGCCCCTTTCCACAGAGAATTCTTGGCAAAAACGTCCCCAGGAACTAGAGGAATTGAGCAGCAGATGTAACAGGGACTTTGTGTGGCAGAACTGGGCCACCCGATTTATACTTAGACCTGATCCCAATCTACTGACTCAGCTGTTTCCTGTACCCAACACGTGGGGAGGCAGTACAGTGCTCTGGCTCTCTGTGTTTCAGGGCAGGTGGGAATTGAAATGAGCCTGTTGAAGAGATGTCTGCACTTGCATGTTCTCCGCAGCACTGTTCCTAATGGCCAAGGGACGCAATCAGCCTGACCACCAACAGACGACCGGGTAGGAACTGTAGCATGGGGCTGATGCTGTGCAGCAGCAAGTTAAGCTGCAGCTTGGGGTGCCAGCAGCCCATCTTGGAGGGCTTGTTTGAGTCCCGGCTGCTCCTCTTCCAATCCAGCTCCCTGCTAATAAACTGGGAAGGCAGCAGAAGATGGCCCAAGTGCTTGGGTTCCTGCCACCACATGCGAGACCAGAAAGGAGTTTCTGGCTCCCGGCTTTGGCCCGGCCCAGACCTGGCTGTTGCAGCCCCTGGAGAGCAAAGCAGTGGATTAAAGTTCTCTCTCTCTCTCCTCTCTCTCTCTCTCTCCTTTCTCTTTCACTCTGCCTTATTTTAAAGAAAAAAGAAAAGGTGGCACATACACACAATGGAATACTATTGAGCCTTTAAAAAGAAGGGAATCCTGTCACTTGTGACCACATGGCTGAACCTGGAGGACACTGTGCTGAGTGGAGTGAGATGTTCACAGAAAGACAAATCCCATATGGCCACTTAGATGTGGGAGCTGAGACTCTGGAACTCACGGAGTGCACAGTGGAAGGGTGGTTGCTGGGGCTGGGATGGGAGGGAGGGGGAGGTGGTGGTGAAGGATACAGAAGTTGAGCTGGGCAGAGGAATGCTTGAGTATCTGTTGCTCAGTCATGGACACTGGTGAATAACAATGTGTTGCATGTCGGGAAATTGCAAAAAGAATGCATTTCCAGTGTTCTCACCACACACACACACACATACACACACAGTAACTAGGTGAGGCAACAGATATGTCAACCAGCGTGATTTTTCATCCCACCATGTAAACGTGTATCAGAATATCATAGTGTTGCCCGTAAATACATGTAATTATTTGTTAATAAGAAATGAAACATAATAAAGGAAAAGGAGAGATACAGAGAAAACTAGAAAGAGAGAGGAATAAAGAGAAAAAAGGAAGGGCTTAAAAGGAGGAGAAAAGAAAAGAGAAGAGAAAGGAGTGACATGGCAGTTCAGTTTGATGGACAGGAACACAGCCAAGGAGTCAGATGGAGCTGGGTTCTTGGTTTATTTAATTGTTTTTTTGAGAGTGAGAGTGAGAAAGAGAGAGAGAGCGAGAGTGAGAGCGTGCAAGCATGAGAGTGAGTGAGCACACTTCTTCTGGTTCACTCCCCTAACGCCTGCAGTGGTCTGGTTGGAGCTTGGCCTGGGTGGAAGCCAGAAGTCAGGAACTCCAGACCAGATTTGGAGACCGGGTTTGGAGAAACAAAGAGACGTCCAAGTATAGGAAGCACACAGAACTCCCAATAGACATGACCAGAAAAGATCCTCGCCACGACACATTATAATCAAACTCACCACAGTGAAACATAAAGAAAAGATTCTAAAATGTACAAGAGAGAAACGCCAGATTACTCTTAGAGGATCTCCAATTAGACTCACAGCAGACTTCTCATCAGAAACCCTACAGGCTGGGAGGGAATGGCGAGACACAGCCCAAGTACTAAGAGAAAAAAACTGCAATCCCAGAATATTATATCCTGCAAAGCTCTCATTTGTGAATAAAGGTGAAATAAAGGCCTTTCATAGCAAACAGAAATTGAAAGAATTTGTAACCAAAGGCCAACCCTGCAAAAGATGCTTAAAGATGTGTTACATAAACACAGAAACACGGTCATCAATATGAAAGTAGGTAAAGGAAGAAAATCTCTCAGTAAAAGATCACAGGAAGTTCAAACTATAAATTAGAAATATCTTTGGAAAAACAGGGCAAAGTCACTACTTATCAATAATCACATTGAATATAAATGGCATTGACTCTTCAGTTAAAAGACACAGACTGGCAGAATGGATTAAAAAACAAAACCCATCTATTTGCTGATTACAAGAAACACATCTTTCCAACAAAGGTGCATGCATACTGAAAGTGAAAGGTTGGAAAAAGATATTCCATACCAACAAAAACAAAAAAAGAGTTGGCGTAGCCATCTTAATATCAGACAAAATAGATTTTAACACAAAGATTGTTAAAAGAGACAAAGAAAGGCACTATATGATGATTAAGGGATCAATTCAACAGGAAGATGTAAATGTTATAAACATATGCACCTAATTACAGGGCACTGCGCTACTTAAAAGATATGCTAAGGGACTTAAAGGGAGACTTAGACTCTAGTACAATAGTACTGGGGGGACTTCAATACTCCACTTTCAGAAATAGACAGATCAACCAGAAAGAAAATCAGCAGGAAACAGCAGATTTAATCAACACTATGGATCAAATGGATCTAAAAGGTATCTACTGAACTCTTCATCCTAAAGTTGAAGAATACATATTCTTCTCAGCAGTGCATGAAACTTTCTTTAGTATTGACCACACACTAGGCTATAAAGCAAGTCTCAGCAAATTCAAAAGAATCAAAATCATACCATGTATCTTCTCAGGCCACAGTGGAATGAAGCTGGAAATCAGCAACTCAGGAATCCCTAGAGCATATGCAAACACATGGAGACTCAATAACATGCTCCTGAATGAACACTGGGTCATAGAAGAAATCAAAAGAGAAATCAAAAACTTTCTTGAAGCAAATGAAGATAACAACACAACATATCAAAACTTATGGGATACAGCAAAAGCAGTGTGAAGAGGAAAGATTATAGCAATAGGTGCCTACATCAAGAAATTGGAAAGGCACCAAATAAATGAGCTTTCAGTGCATCTCAAGGATCCAGACAAACTACAGCATGACATATCACTGGTCCAACTAACTAAAAAAAGAAGAGAAAAGACACAAATCAATAAAATCAGAGATGAAAAAGGGAACGTAACAACAGACACCACAGAAATAAAAAGAGTCATCAGAAATTACTACAAAGAGTTGTATGCCAACAAACTGGGAAATCTATCAGAAATGGATAGATTCCTGGACACATACAACCTACCTAAATGGAACTATGAAGACACAGAAAACCTAAACAGACCTATAAACAAGTCAGAAATTGAATCAGTAATAAAGGCCCTCCCAACAAAGAAAGACCCAGGACTGGATATATTCACTGCTGAATGCTACCAGACATTTAAAGAAGAACTAACTCCAATTTTTCTCAAACTATTCAAAACAATTGAAAGAGAAGGAATCCTCACAACTTCTTTCTACGAAGCCAGCATCACCTTAATTTCTAAACCTGAAAAAGATGCAGCATTGAAAGAACAGACCAATTTCTCTGATGAACATAGATGCAAAAATCTTCAATAAAATTCTGGCCAATAGAATTCAACAACACATCAGAAAGATCATCCACCCAGACCAAGTGGATTTATCCCTGGTATGCAGGGATGGTTCAACGTTCACAAATCAATCAGTGTGATACACCACATTAACAGACTGCAGAAAAAAACCATATGATTATCTCAATAGATGCAGAGCAAGCATTTGATAGAATACAACACCCTTTCATGATGAAAACTCTAAGCAAATTGGGTATAGAAGGAATATTCCTCTACACAATCAAGGCAATTTATGAAAAACCCACAGCCAGCATCATATAGAATGGGGAAAAGTTGGAAGCATTTCCACTGAGATCTGGTACAAGACAGGGATGCCCACTCTCACCATTGCTATTCAGTATAGTACTGGAAGTTTTAGCCAGAGTCATTAGGCAAGAAAAAGAAAGTAAAGGGATACAAATTGGGAAGGAAGAAGTCAAACTATCTCTCTTTGCAGATGATATGATTCTTTATTTAGGGGATCAAAAGAATTCCAGTGAGAGACTACTGGAACTCATAGAAGAGTTTATCAAAATAGCAGGATATAAAATCAGTGCACAAAAATCAGCAGCCATGGCAGAGAAAGAACTTCTAAGATCAATCCCATTCACAATAGCTACAAAAAAATCAAATACCTTGGAATAAACTTAACCAAGGATGTCAAAGATCTCTACGATGAGAATTACAAAACTTTAAAGAAAGAAATAGAAGAGGATACAAAAAAAATGGAAAAATCTTCCATGTTCATGGATTGGAAGAATCAATATCATCAAAGTGTCCATTCTCCCAAAAGCAATTTATAGATTCAATGTGATACCAATCAAAATAACAAAGACATTCTTCTCAGATCTGGAAAAATGATGCTGAAATTCATATGGAGACACGGGAGACCTCAAATAGTTAAAGCAATATTACACAACACAAACAGAGCAGGAAGCATCACAATACCAAATTTCAAGACATACTACACGACAATTAAAATCAAAACAGCATGGTACTGGTACAAAAACAGATGGATAAACCAATGGAACAGAAAAGAAACAGCAGAAACCAATCCACACATCTAAAACCAACTAATATTTGATCAAGGATCTAAAATCAATTCCTGGAGCAAGGACAGTCTATTCAACAAATGGTGCTTGGAAAACTGGATTTCCACATGCAGAAGTATGAAGACCCCTGCCTTACACAAAAATCTACTCAACATGGATTAAAGACCCGACACCATCACGTTATTAGAGAACATCAGAGAAACCCTGTAAGATATTGGCACAGGCAAAGACTTCTTGGAAAAGACCCCAGAGGTACAGGCAGTCAAAGCAAAAATTAACAATTGGATTCCATCAAATTGAGAAGTTTCTGTTCTGCAAAAGAAACAGTCAGGAAAGTGAAGAGGCAACTGACAGAATGGGAGAAAATATTTGCAAATTATGGAACTGATAAAGGATTAATAACCAGAATCTACAAAGAGATCAAGAAACTCCACAACAAAACAAACAACCCACTTAAGAGATGGGCCAAGGACCTCAATAGACATTTTTCAAAAGAGGAAATCCAAACGGCCAACAAACACATGAAAAAATGTTCAGGATCACTAGCAATCAGGGAAATGCAAATCAAAACCACAATGAGGTTTCACTTTACCCCGGTTAGAATGGCTTACATACAGAAGTCAACTAACAACAGATGCTGGCAAGGATGTGGGGGAAAAGGCACATTAATCCACTGTTAGTGGGAATGCAAACTGGTAAAGCCACTATGGAAGACAGTTTGGAGATTCCTCAGAAACCTGACTATAGCCCTACCACACAACCCAGCCATCCCACTCCTCGGAATCTACCCAAGGGAAATTAAATTGGCAAATAAAAGAGCTATCTGCATCTCAATGTTTATTGCAGCTCAATTCACAATAGCTAAGACATGGAATCAACCTAAATGCCCATCAACAGAAGACTGGATAAAGAAATTATGGGATATGTACTCTATAGAATACTACACAGCGCTAAAAAAAATGAAATCCAGTCATTTGCAACAAAATGGAGGAATCTGGAAAACATCATGCTGAGTGAAATAAGCCAGTCCCAAAGGGACAAATATCATATGTTCTCCCAGATCTGTGACAACTAACTGAGCACCTAAAAGGAAACCTATAGAAGTAAAACTGACATTATGAGAAACAATGACTTGAACAGCCCTTGTCCTGTCGAGGAACAACTTACTATTTTATTTTTTTCAGTATTTTCTCTTTCTACTTAATACCACTGGTTGAACTCTTAATTAACACACAATTATTCCTAGGTGTTTAAATTTAACTGAAAATTGATCCCTGTTAAAAATAAGAGTAGGAATAAGAGAGGGAGGAGATGTACAGTTCAGCACATGCTCACTCGGACTTACCCCTAATGGTAGAGCTAGAAATGTGCCATGGGACTCCAGATCCCATTAAGGTGGCAGGTACCAATGCCATCTTACTAGTTAAGGTGATCAGTTTAAGTTCATAAATGATCATAAAGATAGGATTAAGTGTCAAAGGAATCACATAAATAAGACTAGTGTCTGCTAATAATAACTGATAGAATTAAGAAGGATAGAACGACCCAACACTGGAAGCGGGGCACATAGCAGACTCAGGGAATGGCAAATGCCCTAAAAAGCACTTTGGCCTCAGAATCAGCCCTTAAGGCATTTGGATATGGCTAAAAAGCCCATGAGGGTTTCTCAGACATGGACAGCCAAGACACTGTGGCAAAAAATGACCTAAATGAAAGATCTCTGTGAGTGAGATCCCAGTGGAAAGAACGTGCCATCAAAGAAGGAGGTACCTTGCTCTGAAGGTACCTTGTCTAAATGGCCTTGTCTAAATAAGGTAGGAGTTTGTGAACTCAAGAGGGTTCCATAGCCTTGGCAGCTCATGACAAGACCCTTGGGTGATTACTGACATCATAAATAAGAGTGTCAATTGTTAAATCAACAGGAGTCACTGTGCACTTACTCCCAATGTAGGATCTCTGTCCTTAATGAGTTGTACTATGCAAATTAATGGTAAAACTAGTCTTCAAACAGTACTTTATACTTTGTGTGTCTGTGTGGGTGCAAACTGTTGAAATCTTTACTTAGTAGATACTAAGTTGATCTTCTGTATATAAAGATAATTAAAAATGAATCTTAATGAAGAATGGGATAGGAGAGGGAGTAGGAGATGGGATGGTTTGTGGGTGTGGGGGTAGTTATGGGGGGAAAAACCGCTATACTCCAAAAGTTGTACTTTTGAAATTTATATTTATTAAATAAAAGTTTTCTTAAAGATGATCTAATGTTGTCACTGTGTATTACAGGATATCACACACATAAAAGCACGGAAGGGGTGATAGCGAGTAAAACTGTCACGTACCCTTGCAGCAAATCTCTTAGGTGGGAATGCTGATCCCTGCTTCACCACAGGAAGACTGGACCTCAGAGGTAGAGCCCATCCGCCCAAGAACTCAGCTCATTAGAGGCCAAAGCGGCACCTGAACTGAACTTAGCACGCCCAACCTGGTCTAGTTTCCTGTGTACTACACACGCTGACATGATGGATGCAGGGAGAAAGGCTATGAGGATTCTGCAGTGGTCAGGTCACGGCTACTGTTCTGAATTCAGTTCTGCACGTGGTACTTGCAAAGACACCAATCCTGTTTTAGAAAGGTCACCTGTCCAGGAAGCTCCCTGGACAGGACTTGGGCCTGTGTGTCTGGATGACCACACACTGGTGGTCCTGTGCCAGGAGGGGCTATGGTTCTAGATAGTTCCAGAGCTTGAAGCCCTGGACATGTGTCTGGAAGGCCCTGGCCCCTTGCCCTTGGTCTCTCCTGGATGGGGCTTCTCCTTCCTCCGGGAGCCTGCCTGGGCCCAGGAGTCAGGTGGGGACTCCTGCTTGGGTCGGCAGCTGTTGTTCACTTCTTCCCCTGGCCACTCAGCAGCTCACATGCACGTTTCTGGCCAACTAGGTGACGGAAGCACCACCAGTGTCTGGAGCCAGTGATGGGGACGTACGTACCTGAGGCTTGGGTGAGTGGCGGCTCTCGGGCCGTGTTGATGGGTCTCCCACTGGGCCGGACCTCTGCTGGGGAGAAAGAATGGAAGACAACAGGTTCAGCCTCTGGTTCACACTCTACTTGGAAAACAATGGCCACCAGGTCAGCGTGTTACTCTGAGATCTTGCTTTGGGTTTATCTGTTTAGACATAAGGGGCTGCTCTGATGGATTTGTGAAGCCATAGATTTATCGCAGAAGAATAAAATATCGAGGAAATCAGTTACTGAAATATTTAGGCATGAGGATAGAGATGTATATGTGATTTAGCTGTAGAGTCTTGTAATCATAATCTTAAAGTAGTCAGGAGAAAAACTCAAAATAGAATTTCCGCATGATCCAGCAAACCCAATTCCATTCAGCCATAAAAAAGCATGAACTTCTGATAGCTCTTGCAACATGGATGAGCCTGGAAAACACTCTGCTATGTGAAATGAACCAGACACAAAAAAGCAGGTGTTAAGGGTCTGGTGCTGTGGCATGGTAGGCTATGCTTCTGCCTGTGGTGCTGGCATCCCATATGGGCACCAGTTTGAACCCTGGCTGCTCCTTTTCCAATCCAGCTCTCTGCCATGGCCTGGGGAAGCAGCAGAAGATGGCCCACACGCTTTGGGCCCTGCACCCGCATAGGAGACCTGGAAGAGGCTCCTGGCTCACAGGTGGATTCAGAGAGACAGAAAACACAAGCAAGGTTTCCCCGGGCTAGGGGACGGGGAGATGGAAACTACTGTTCAACAGGTGCAGAGCTTCTGTTTGGGGTGAGGAAGAAATTCTAGAAACAGACAGTGGTAATGGTTATACCATGTCATGCAGGTAACTAATGCCACTGAATTGTACACCTTACCTTTTGTTTTATGTACATTTTTACACAATAAAAAATGAATAATAAATGATTTTTTTTTGACAGGCAGGAGTGGACAGTGAGAGAGACAGAGACAGAGAGAAAGGTCTTCCTTTGCCGTTGGTTCACCCTCCAATGGCTGCCGCGGCCGGCGCGCTGCAACCAGCGCACCGCGCGGATCCGATGGCAGGAGCCAGGTGCTTCTCCTGGTCTCCCATGGGGTGCAGGGCCCAAGCACTTGGGCCATCCTCCACTGCACTCCCGGGCCACAGCAGAGAGCTGGCCTGGAAGAGGGGCAACCGGGACAGAATCCGGCGCCCCGACCGGGACTAGAACCCGGTGTGCCGGCGCCACAAGGTGGAGGATTAGCCTAGTGAGCCGCGGCGCCAGCCTGAATAATAAATGAATTTTAAAAAAGAAACCGATACTACCCCCATATATGGAAAAACATAATGATAAGTGTTTGAATAGATGCAAATGCTAATTACCCTGATTTAATCATTATTCATTGTCCTCCTGTACCTTGTAACTATGTACAAATATTATATGTCAATTAAAAACTAAAAAACTAAAGAGTAAAACAAATGATACTTTCCATAAATACAAGAACCTTATAAAAATTAATGCGGTGAAACTAAAACAATGCTACAGAATGCTGGCTCCGACAGAGGTGCTGCCCTGAGGTCCTCACGGGGCAGGGAGGAAGAGGGCTCAGAGCACGGATCCTGGTCAGAGCATCAGCCGGGTCTCCTGCTCTGCCCCCTCGGCAGCAGGTGGCCTGGGCTTCTCTGTGCCTCAGTTTCCTCATCGACTCCATGGGGACCTCGGAGGGTGGCTGTGAGGACTGGCGTTAACCCACAGAAATGTGCCTGGCCTACGGCGAGATCAGCACCTGTAGGAGCTCAATGCGATTCCAGTAGCAAACTGATCCCCTTAAAATTTCTTCATTTTAAAAATTTGTGCTAGTGTTTTTAAAAATTATTTGCTTATTTATTTGTGAGGGAGAGGGAGAGGGAGAGGGAGAGAGGGAGAGAGGGAGAGAGGGAGAGAGGGAGAGAGAGAGAGAGACTGACTTCCCCAAATGCCTACAACAGCCAGTCCAGGGGCTGGGCCAGGCTGCAGCAGGATCCAGGAACTCCATCCACGTCTCCCATGTGGGTGATAAGGACCCAGCTCCTTGAGCCATCGTGGCTAACAGGAAGCTGGGACTGGCAGCAGAGCTGGGATTCATACCCAGGCCCTTCAGAATGGGATATGGGCGTTTTAACCTCCAGGCCAAACACCTGCCCCGTAACTCCTCTGGTCTTTTAAATTGTTTTTACTGCTCTGGTTGAGTCTCCTACAGACTCTACCCCTCAGACAACCAGAGGCAGGAGGTAGCTTCTGGAAGTCCAATTCTGCCTTCTCTCTTGTCGCCTTTCAGCTCAAGGTCAGTCCTCACTTTGGCCTCCCACCCCGGCACACCGAGCCGGCACACTCACCCAGGCAGATGGGCGGCTTGCCTGTCCAGCTGCCATCTGCTTTGCAGGTGCGGTGCTCGGAGCCGCCCTTCAGAGTGAAGCCCTCCTGGCAGGAGTAGATGAGCGTGTAGCCCATGGAGGGCAGGTCCAGGGCCCCGACGTTGGCGTGGGTGGGCGTCTCTGGCTGCCTGCAGTGGTGGGCTGGGCGAGAGGGAGGGAGTGCTGAGCCCGAGGGGCTGAGGGTCTCCAGGGGCCTCTTGGACCATTCACGCCCCTGTTCCCAGGTGGGGCATCCTCTTCCTGCCCCTTCTGGGCCCTTTCACGGCCAGCATCGCCCTCCCGGCTCCTCTCCCCGGCCCCAGGCTGGCATCACTAGGCCTAGGTGAACGTTCACGTGGATGTCTATGAGGGCCCAAGGGGTAAGGACTACAGAGAAACGAATATTGGCCCAAACGACGAGTAGTGAGCTCCCTGTCACTGACAGCATGCAAGCATGTCGGGATGTGGGTGAGTGCACTCACGGACACAGTCGGGCGGGGTGCCGCTCCACGTCAGGTTCGGGAGGCAGGTCCTGGTGGTGGAACCCTGGAGCAGGTAGCCTTTCTGACAGCGGAAGAGCACGGTGCTTCCGACCTGTGGCATGGACGGAAGGTTCCATCGCCTTCCATCCAGCAACGCCTCATACGCCTCCCCCCGAGTTACAGACGCTTCTGTGGCCCACCTGCTGCCCAGGCTGCTGCCTCTGCCGGCAATGATGCCCTCTCCCTCTCTGCTGGGTGAAATCTATTTATCCTTTGGGGCAGCTGACACCACGCCTCTTCCCCCCGGCCTCCTCCAATCCCAGGAGCCAGATCAGGGCTCCCCTGCACACACGGAACACTGCGGTAGACAGAGTGCCCAACTCGGGGTCAGAAGACGCTGGATCTGAGCCCTGGCTTCTGTGCTGGCTCACTGGACGGCACTCCCTGAACTTTAGTCTTCCATTCTGCCCCAGCTGCACGGGAGCACCGTGACACTCGGATGTGACGGTGCAGAGGAAGCACTTGGTAAAACACGAAGAACTATGCAAAATTAAGTGATGGCTTGTGTCTGTGTGTGTGTGTGTGTCCCTTTCTCCTATGAACCATAAGTTCCTTAAAGCTGAGAGAGGCTTTTTTACCTTGCACAGACACCTGTGGGCGCCCTGTTTGCAAAGAACCCCTGAGCAGAAGTGCCGCCCCCACACTATCCTGCCCTCTCATCAGCTGTCCCCCACTTCCATCCCCCCATGGATTCCTGACTCCTGTAACTGCCGGCTCGGTCTCTCCCACTCCACACCCATCTGGCAGAATTTTGGGGGTGGGACCAGATTCCCACGCTGCAGTTTGATTTCACTGCTCCCCAGCTCAACCACTCCCACTGTCCCCATTACGTCCGGGAGCAAATTCAAAGGCAAGGTGACCCTTTCGTTCTCCATTCTCGCCATCCACGCCTAACCTAGGTGCTTCTTGGATTCCATCATTTGTTTCAGCAAATACGGCATCTTTATCTGCCTAGCGGAACACATCAAAACCTCAGGTCATGTTTGATTCCACAGAACCCTCCGTCCAACACACCGAGAAGTCCTCTTTGTTCTACCTGCACGGTGCGTTCTGAACACCTCTCTGCCTCCCTGTCACTCCTGTCACACAATGCCGCCCCTGTCCCTCTCCTGAGCCGTGACAACAGTGCCCTCCTTGTCTGAGTGTTTCTATTTGTGATCTCTTGTTATTCATCGTCTACTCAGCAACCCGAGTGATATGTCAAACGACGAATCCGATAGCATTGCTTTCAAATGACCTTCAGTATAAAAACCAAAATGCTGGTCCCAGCCCTAAAATGCCATGTGACCTGACCCAGGCCGCCTTCTTGGCAAAAAACTATTGTGTGACACCTGATGAATGCAGGGAACACATAAAAGGGGACTTCAAAAATTCATGGGAAAAAAAAGGAATTGAAAGCGAGGCTTATTTTGGTGCAAATGCTTTGAATCCGTGCCTAGCTTGTTTCATAGTGTGCATGTCCCGTGGGCTTTCTGAAGACCCCTTGTACAGAGATGAAGTGTGAGAATGAAATGGATGCCACAGTGGAGCCTGACGCTTGGAGCAAGGATGCTCTTACCCCAAGCCGCTCCTTAGCGCCCTGGACGGCACCTGCTATCGTGAGCTTTGTGGTGATGAGCCTATCCCATATGCACGCACGCATCTCCAAACACTTGGTAGGTTTCACTCACTAGTGTGTTTCTAGACAGACCTGTGCCGCAGGGAGCCGCATCATTCACTCTCGCTGCAGTAGATCAACCTACCGTGTGACCACACCACAATTCTCCTGTCTCCTGGTCACATGCACACGAGCACCTGGGGTGTGTTCCCAGGAGGGGGACTTCCGGGCCACAGAGCTGGTGAAGTGTTTCCTTGGCCCAAGCCAAGGTGCTTGCAAGCCCCACCCAGCCGTCTGATGTCGTCACCTGCCTCTCTCAGCACGCTGTAGACTCAATGGCAGGCCTGCCCGTTGGTCCCCACCATGCTCCCTGGGAAGGCCACCGGCTGCGCATGCGGCTGACCCTCCCCATGTAACGTGTTGCCCTCAGCAGGGCTCTTTCCTCACTGCCGTCCCTAAGGTAGCACCTCAGCGCTGTTCACGCCCCCTCGCTTGGCCCTGGCTGGTGCTTAGGGGAGGTCTCAGCAGTGACCTTGCTTGTGTGTTTGTCCTCACCAGCCGTGCGGTCTCACTGGAGCAGGGGCCGGCTGCCCTGGTCCCACTCCCCTCCTTGTGTTCCTCGTTCCGAGGACCGTCTTAGGTCATCAGCAGTGGCTGAATGAGTGCTGACAGCAGGAACTACATCACCCGATTAGACCGCAGTCCCGAATTTTCTCCTGGGTGTCTCTTGGCTCCAGTTCATTGTCTGCCTCAGGCTGTGCCTTCCTGCCTCCCCCTCTGTTGAGTGTCCCAGCCCAGGCTGTCCCAGCCCTTTCCTCCTCCCAGTGCTCGTTCTCGGGTGCCTGGTCTGCCTCACACTGGCCCTTGCTCGCCCCTGCTGGCCGGTCGAGCTCGGCTCCACGGTGGGGCTGCAGGAACCTTGAGGACCCAAGGTCTGCGTGTGCCCCAGCTGCCAGCAGCTGGGAAGTGTCTTGGAACGACACCGGCACGCCCTCTTCCTCCCTGGCTTCTCTGAAGGAAGCAGGATGCTGAGAGGCTCTCCTGTGGAGCACGAACCAAAGAGGCAGGGCGCTTCCCTTCTCTGGTTTCCAGGGTCTCGGCCTCGCTGGGTGCTGTCAGGAGGGAGGTCCCTGGGGTCGCTGATGGGCAGGGACAGGAGGCAGGAAGGCCCAGGCTTGGTGCTCTCCTTACCTGATAGCCCTGGGAACTGTTCTGCATCCCAAACTGTGGCTTGCCGGGGTCTGCACACACAGTCAGCGTCGGATCTGAATCGCAAAACAAAGACAAGGCCCTGTGGTCACTGAACTTTCTCTGCCTTGGTGCGCCCTGAGAAACAGGTGCAGGGAAGAAAACGGGCCACCTCCTGCCTTCCCAGATCTGCACCTGCCTCACGCCTCTCGCTGGCCAGTCCACCCCCGGTGCACACTCGCTCGGGCTACTTCATATCCTGCTCCAAGCATCCCAGACAGCACCTGTGCCCTTGTGCAGATAAGACCGCCCAAGACTAGGGACGGAAGGCCTCACCTGCCACCAGCCCGGCCACCCTCTGCCTGGAGCACCTCTCACCTACGCAGCTGGGCTGGGTACCACTCCACGTCCCGTCCGACTGGCAAAACCTTCGTGGAGAGCCCACCAGCAGCAGAGGGGGCTGGCAGGAGTAGGAGACGGACGACCTGTAGGAGAAGCCTCGGTCTTCTCTCCTCCCGCGGGGCGGGACGCCTGGGTCTCCGCAGAACACCGCTGGGAAGCAAAGGAGAAAGGCAGGCTCGAGCTACTTTCCAGAACCTGGTCTTCGTCTGCCTGTGTCCTGTCTTCCTGCAGGTTCCACCTGAACTCGGGAAACCCGGGTTCAGTCCCGGGTAAGAGCTTAGTACTTACAACCGCCTTGGGGCTGCCGCTGCCACGTGCTTCCTCTCCTGCCCACACCCTAATGCTTATGCTCCACCATCCCAGTCATAGGGGACACTTCAGTAGGGTTGGAGCAATGAGAAAAAATAACCCACCCAGAATTTTCCCTTCATTCTCGTGCACCTTCCCTGCTAGCTCTCACTTGGATGCGTGTGAACTTGTGCACAGCTGCAAATCCAAGGCTGGTGTGATTGTGGCTGTGGCTTGGTTCACCTAATGGCATCCTGGAAACATTTTCCACATGTGTGACGTTACCAGTACTGGCCCCACAGTTCTGCAATGGGGGCTGTATCATAATTGTACTTTATCATAATCCTCCGACCAGACATCTCCTATTGTAAAGTTATGTACAACTTTTCTTTCACATGGTTTACAATTTAGGCATGGCATGTTACTTTGAAGGTTGGAGCATGCTGCCAGCTCTAGATGTGTACTGCCACATTCCTTTTCCAAGGGTGCCCACTTACACTGTGCTGGGAGTATGTGAGTGTGCCCATTTCTTTTTTATTTATTTATTTATTATTTATTTATTTATTTTTGACAGGCAGAGTTAGACAGTGAGAGAGAGAGAGAGAGACAGAGATAAAGGTCTTCCTTCCATTGGTTCACTCCCCAAATGGCTTCTATGGCCGGCGCACCGCGCTGATCCGAAGCTGGGAGCCAGGTGCTTCCTCCTGGTCTCCCATGCGGGTATAGGGCCCAAGCACTTGGGCCATCCTCCACTGCCTTCCCCAGCCACAGCAGAGAGCTGGACTAGAAGAGGAGCAACCGGGACAGAATCCGGCACCCCAACCAGGACTAGAACCCGGGGTGCCGGTGCCGCAGGCGGAGGAGTAGTCAAGTGAGCCGTGGCGCTGGCCTAGCGTGCCCATTTCATTCAGGTCATGTTATTGTCAGAGCATATCATTAGCTGTGGGCTGCAAAGCTCTCTCTGACAGCCCCTCAAGTGTCACTCTGTGCTGTGATATGAGTGTGTGTGTGTAGGTGGGGGGCTTCTAAAGGTCCTCAGGAAGACAGAATTAAAGGTTATGTGAGTTTCCCACGAACTTCTGGAAGCATCCTCGTGGAGTCAGGAGGTTCACAACCTCATGCAAAATAAAATGGACGCTGGGCCTGCGGCTGGTGCCTGGCAGGCGGGGCGCCCCGGCTGGCCGGTGAGAAGGCAACACAAAGCCACGCTGCTCAGAAGCTCGCAGGCCCACGAGGAGACAGCGCAAGGAAGACATGCAGATGTCTGACAAGCAACCTCCACTGCCGGAGAGGTGTGAGTGAGAGACTGCTGTGGGGATGTCCCCCGGGGCCTTCTTTCTGGAAGACAGCTGGGTGACACGCGTCAAGGAGCACAGCGTGCCTGCTGCTTGGCCCAGCCCTCTCACTCCTAGGCTTTCACCACAAGCGTCAAGAAGTGCTATTTTCAGGGCTGTTGGTTACAGAACTGCTCTACCATGAAGTCGGAGACCACCTGACTTGGTCACCCACTAGAAGACTGAGGGATCTACAACAAGGACATTCTTCAAAGCCATCAGCATCTATGATAGGTGGATCAGTCCGCACTAATAGCCAAAGGTGCTGATGGACAGCTCTTGGTGGCCTATCAATGGGTATGAGTTATGAAACAGTGTGTACAGCATGGCCTAATAGCATTTATAGGAGATTGTACTCATACACATGGCAACACACAGGTTACTACATGTGCAAAAACTGGTCCACGTGGAGGCACAATCCAAAGCTTAGGTGTAGTTATCTTTGGGAAGTGACAGTTCAGGTGATTTTTTAGCTTCTTCTTTGTATTTTCTTGTATGTACAATTTTCCCCCTAGGACTTTGACCTTATTCATTGTTAAAAAGTAACTTGGCTATTCCTCAAGGGGCAAAGTGAGGTGGCTGAGTTCAGACTCTGCCCTGTGACTTGCTGCTTTCCAATTATCTCCCTGGTGGGACGGGAGGGTCTGAGAAGTTAATTATGTACCGAGCACCCGTGTCCACTTTTGAGCTGCTGGCCTGAACCTCTGTGGAAATTCCCAGAAAGAAGCAGATGTTCAGAGGTAGAGGTACCCAGAAAGTCTCATGAGCATGTGAATAGTTAGAGAAATGTCGAGTAGAAAGAAAAAGCGGGTCTGGGCATTTGGCCTGGCAATGCAGACATCACAGCCCGCATCAGAGTGCCCGGGTTCTGCTCCCGGCTCCAGCTTTCTGCACACCTGGAAAGGCAGCGATGCTGACTCAAGAGACTGGGCCCCTGCCGTCCACATGGGAGGCTTGGGTTGTGTTTCCAGCTCCTGGGTCCAGCCCTGGTTCAGCCTTCCTGTGGGTATCTGGGGCGTGAACCAGCTCGTGGGAGCTCTCTCTCAGACATACAAATAAAAAAAAAAAACCAAACAGGTCCTGTTTTTATACAAAGCATGCCCAGGTGTGGGGGGTGACAAGCAACTCTGGGGTCCTCAATGAGTAGCTCATCCTGGAATGGACTTGGGGCTCTTTAGGACACTTTTGGAACGTTTTCCAGGAAGACAGGCACGTTGCTAGCACAGGGCATCCCCAGATCGTCCGGCCTTAACAATCTTTCATGCCAGGAAAACAACGCCTGGCCTGTGGCTTATTGCCCCCCACTCTGACTCCTGGCAGTGTTCAGGGTGGTATGGCCATAAACTCCTTCCCTCTTTCACAGAGCTCTGCCCTGGTTTTCAGGAGGGGACGATCTACCCCAGGCCTCCCAGCACAGAGCAACGAGGAAGGAAAGGGAAGGGGCCAGCAGATGGGGGGCTCCAGGGGCCCCGCTGAGCCACTTACGGAAGCACTGCGGCAGCTCTCCGGTCCAGGACCCGTTCCCCTCGCAGGTGAGCACCGCGGGCAGCGAGAGCTGGTAGCCCTCCAGGCAGGCGTAAGTCACGCTCGAGCCCCACATGAAGTCGGATCCCACCACCTTCCCGTTGGGGATGAGCTGAGGCGGCTTGCACATGATAGCTGGGGGGAGACCAGGGAGGCTGAGTTCTGGTGCTGCCCTGGGAGAACCAGCCCAGTTGTCATCACCGGTATCTGTGGCTGCCCCGCACCTCCTGGGAGCGTGGCCCGGCAGGAGGAGCCAGAGAGGAGCCGTCTGGGTGTGGCAGCTCTGACTTTCTGCATTGCCCAGTGCCCTCTGTTGATGTCTGAGGGTCAGGTCCCTTCCCACTCCCTCCTGGCAGATGGCTATGGGACAGTTCTCTCCTTGGAAAAATGCTAGGGCTCTGTCTCGCCACCCCCATGCCCTGCCCTGGGGTTCAAGGCCCTCCGTCCACATCTGTGGGCCTCCGTCCACATCTGCGGCCCTCCGACGCACCTTTGCAGACAGGCTTGGTGCCATTCCATGTCCGGTCCTTGGTGCAGCTCAGCACGGACACCCGATGTGACTCCATCATGTATCCAGGGACGCACTGGTACGTCACGGTCTTGTTATACCTGAAGTCGTTGCCCAGTCGGAGGCCATTGGCTGGAATCCCAGGGTCACCACAGTTTATGACTAGGAGAAGAGTGACGCAGCATTGGCCACTCCTGGTTCAGACCCCATTTCTCCTTAGCACCGATACCATGCCTCCACTCCCTGCCCAGGTCCGAGAAGGCAAGGGCAGATCAGCCACACCCTCCCTCCTCACAGGCTCCCAGGGTCCATTCTCAAGTTCATTTGGTTAAAACTCTCTGCATTGGCCCTCCCACCTCCCTACTGCCCTTGCCCACGCCATCCTTGTGTGGCCAGCTCCTTGGGCTGTGGAGACCTGTCTTCTAATCAAAGCAGGCCCCTGAGAGGAAGCACCCAGAGGGTGCTCTGTTCCTGAACAAAGCAGGGGCTCAGGAAGAGGGGAGGATCTCCAGGCTGAACAACCTAACGCGCTAATGGAGCACCTGAGACAATTTGTCTGCCCCAGGGTGGGTCTTAGCACCTGCTGTTCTGCCCAGGTCGCTGTGGGCCGCACAGCCTGGAAGCAGAGTCTTGTTATGGTAAGGAGTAAAGGTAGGGTCTCTGATCAAAAGTGGACCTGACATGGGATTTCAGAGGCAGCCTGCAGCAGTAGATTGAGACTTTGCCATGGAGGAGTGGTCTGATTCCCTCGCCTGATCTCTCCCTAGCTGGGTGCCACACTGGCTGCTTTCCCAGGGAAGGGGGCTGGGGCCACCCTGGAAGGAAGCAAGAAAGGGCAGCCATGAAGCTGCTCCAGGCTCAGGTTGGGGAGGGTCCATGGAGGGAGAAGGAAGGGACAGAGATAGTGGCCAGGGGGAGCTGTAAAGTGCTCAGGGAATCTGGTGGAGCCTTAGGGTTTTGCCTTCAAAGATTAAAAGATAGGCCGAAGGCACTGGCTGGAGCCCAAGAACTGGCCAACATTTTCTCAGCCTCCCTGAGCCTCGTCGTCTCATTCAGAAAGTAGTAGCTGTTCTGTGGACTGAGGGAGGATCCAGTGGCGCGTGTGTGCAACAGAAAGCCTTCCGTGAAGGGGCTGCCCCACCTACTCACACACGACTCACGCAGGCTCCCGGTCTCACGGGGACTCCCTTCGCCTTGGGCATGCAGTAGCCGGGTCACCCCGGCTCTCACCTGTGCACTCGGGGTCACTGCCCGTCCAGGTGCCATTGACGGAGCAGTGTCTGCTGAGCAGGCCCGTGGCGTAGTAGCCTTCCCGACACTCGTAGACGATGGAGCTGGAGAAGACTAGTCCGTCGCTGAACGTGACTCGGGCATTGCTTGGCGTCCCGGGGTTCCCACAGGAGATCACTAGGAAGCCAGAGGGGCACATTATCCACCAGACCCACAGCAGGTGGCACTGGGGGCTGTGAGCTGCCTAGAGTGGAGGGCTCTGGCTACAGGGACCCTGCGGAGGGCGTGCACAACTCTCCTGCTACCTCTGCCTCCTGACCATCTATCTCACCCCAGGCAGGGAGCAGAGACCTGGATGAAGTTTTCAAAAAAATTATTTTTAAGTAAAAAAGGCTACAAGGCTATTTGTTTTATTATCACACCTAGAATTTTAAGCAGCAATTCCTAATACCAACAAATATCCAATCTTCCTCGATTTCCTCTCTTTATTTATTTTAAATATTTATTTATTTGAATGGAAGAATTACAAATAGAGGGAGATGGGGAATAAGACAGGGAGAGAGAGAGGGAGAGAAGGAGGGAGGGAAAGAGAGTGAGAGAGAGAGAGAGAGAGAGAGAGAGACAGAGAGAGGTATCTACTATCTGCTGGTTCACTCCCCAACTGCCAACAATAGGCAGGTCTGGGCCAGGCCAAAGCCAAGAATTCCATCCTGGGCTCCCACATGGGTGGCAGGGGAAAGAGAGAAGAAAAAAGAGAGCTCCTGTCCGTGGTTCACTGCCCCTGTGCCTGCGATGGCTTGTGCTGAGCTGACCTGAAGCTGGACACCGAGAACTCAACCCAGGCCTCCAGTGTGGGTGGAAAGAGGTCAGCTACGTGAGGCTGCCGCCTTCCAGCATCCACATCAGCGAGAAGCCGGGGCCAGGAGTGGGAGCCGGGTGTTGAACCCAGGTGCTTCCGTGTGTGACACAGCATCTTAACCATCACTAGGCTAAACATACCCCCCCCCTTTTTTGACAGGCAGAGTCAGACAGTGAGAGAGAGGGACAGAGAGAAAGGTCTTCCTTCCATTGGTTCACCCCCCCCAAATGGCCTCTACGGTTGGCACGATGTGCCAATCCGAAGCCGGGAGCCAGGTGCTTCCTCCCGGTCTCCAATGGGGTGCAGGGCCCAAGCACTTGGGCCATCCTCCACTGCACTCCCGGGCCACAGCAGAGAGCTGGCCTGGAAGAGGGGCAACCGGGACAGAATCCGGCGCCCCAACCAGGACTAGAACCTGGGGTACCAGCACCACAGGCAGAGGATTAGCCTAGTGAGCCATGGCCCCAGCCACCCCCCCCCCCCCCGCCTTTTTTTAAACAGTGACTGATCTGAATCAAAATCCACATAAGGTTCGTGCATGATGTGTGGTTGGCAGGTCTCTAAGACTCTGAATGCAGAGGTTAGCGTTCTCTCTTCTGTAGCTTGTTAGCAGAAACCAGACACCTACGCTGTGCAAGTTCCCAGTCTGAACTGTACTAACTGCATCAGGATGGTATTGTTTACCATGCTTCCCCTGTTCCCTGTGGAACCCGTGATCAGGCTTTCCTCTTTGGCTAGGATGCTTCCTAGATGACTGACCAGCAGTCACAGATGATTTGGTTGCTTTCTTGCTCATGAGGTTGAAGCGGATGAATGATTTTTGGTTTTCCTGCCTACTCAGAATTCATAAAATTCCCATGAGCTTCTCACTTAATGGTTTCGCAGCAATGGATGATCATCAACCAGATCCATTATTTCACTAGGGGTTAGACAGCGGTGATATTTTAATTCTATACTCTAGAAAGAAGCATTTGAGTTTGTTAATGAAGAAATTTGAATATTTGTTAATGCTGAAATCAGATAATGGTTCTTTCCAAATCAGATGTCAGAATAGTGAATGAGTTCCTTAGCAAGATCTAAAGGCGATTCCTGGTTTATTTAAGGATCTTTCAGAACTTAGGGATTTGAAATGATTTACTATGTTGCCACCCATTGCCTTTATCCATCTTATGGAGGCTCAAATTATCCCATCTTTTGTCAATGGGCATCTCTTCAAGTCGGCGCCTGAGTCCTTTTCCTATGACCCCAGTCATCCCTGGTGGATTCCGTGCTGGTGCGAGAAGAGGTGTTTTTGTATAGTCCCTGCCCTGATTCGGGAAATTTTCCCGAAGAACCTGGTTCTTCTGACAGAGAGCGGATTTAGAGACTACAGCCTGGGCACTAATGGTGCTCACTGCTAAGTGGTCAGTAGCTGTTGACTCTAGACTTCTAGAGTAGGTAGAGCTGGAGAAATAACTTTTTAAAAAAAAAAGATTTATTTCTTGGTTTATGTATTTGAAAATCCAAATGACAGGAGAAGAGGGAGAGACAGAAGGAGGGAGAGGAGGAGGAGGGGAGAGAGAAACAGAGAGACAGAGAGATCTTCTATTTTTTGGTTTACACCCTAAATGGATGCAACAGTCAGGACTGGGCAGGCTGAAGCCAGGAGCCAGGAACTCCATCCAGGTCTCCTATGTGGGTAATGGGGCCCCACACATGCTTGGGCATCATCCATTGCCTTCCTAGGAACATTAGCAGGGCACTGGATGGGAAGCAGAGCAGCCAAGATTCAAACCAGTACTTCAATAAGGGATGCCAGCATTGTAAGCTACAGTTTAACCTACTGTGCCACAACACCAGTCCCTAGGAAAATAACTTTTTAAATGGAAAATACATTATGAATTTATACCGATACTGCCAATCCAAATTTAGGACTAAGGGTTTTCCGTAACTTTTTTTCTTTAAAAATTTTTTTATGTTGAAAATATTGGTTCTTAGTGATAGTAAATAATTCACATTTGTTTTATCCGCATATGCTATATAATATATCATTTCAAAATAGCACTAGTTTCAGAATAGTAACATAATGTTATTACTAATAATATGATTGCTGAAAGCAGCGGAAGATTTCTTTGCGGCCCTCTTTGTCCTCAGGATACATGTCACAGTCAAATTCCATTTTTTCAAGTCTGCTGTAATAATTCTCTGGGTTATTAAATCACCAACTTAAATCATGTTCCATTGCAGCTTTGATATTTAGAGCTTGTATGCTTCTAATATGTGATTTGATTTAGCCTAATTTTACAGCATATATAACATTCACACGGTGCTACAAGAAAACCTACAAAACAATTCCTACTGATTAGCACAACAGATGAGCTCTAACATCCATTCATTCCACAGCTCTTTGTGTTGCCTAGGTGTGCAGAGAACAGCAGTCACCCAGTTACGTGCCCTGCTCCTGAGGAGCTTAATGTATTGTGAGGAACCTACCCACAGATGAATGAAAACTTGACACGGAATAAGGGTAGTGAGAAGAGATCAGCCTACCGGGACTGGAGAATGAAAATCTGAATAGACCACACCCCATATCAGAGTGCCTGGGACTGAGTCCACCTCCACTTGCGGTCCAACTTCTTGCTAGTGTGCCTGGGAGGCAACAGGTGATGCACAGGTGCTCTGGTCCCTGCTACCCATGTGGGAAACCTGGATGGAGTGCCTGCCTCCTGGCTTCAACTTGGTCCAGTCCTGGCTGTTGTGGGCATTTGGGAAGTGAACTAGTGAATGGAAGATCTCTGTCTGTCACTCCACCTTTCCAATAAGTAAAAAAAATGAGTAAATATTTGGAATGTGATAGAACCAGTAAGTGTAAGTAGGAGTTTGTCCAGAAGAGCCCTAAGAGCTGAGTGTGTGTGTGTGTGTGTGTGCATGTGCGTGTGCCACCTCTCCCCCTTAACAAAATTCACTTCGAGGCACACAGTCTTCACTACCCACCTCTGGCTCTGAACGCACCTGACGTGGTTACCTGACCCCATCCTGGTGCGGGGCAGGAAAGCGACACAGGTTGCGTGCATTACACTTTCTCACTACCACAAACCTCCTGGGCTGCACCTCCAAAACTCTGCAAACAGCACCCCCAGAAAGGCCCGATTCTGGGCAGACACTGTTCTCATCTCCCGGCCAGGAATCGTCTGATCAGAGGCCAGAACACATCCCTTGCTCTGCAGGGCAACACGACAGCCTCAGTTTCCAGCAGGCTGCTTTCCAACACTGCCTCTTACCTTCATCTCCCACACCCAGGGACTCGTTCTCCTGTGACTGCTTTGGTCCTACGGGGACCACCAATCCATCAACTCTACCCCTTTTCTCACTGCCTCTTACTCCACGAAGGAAGTTGCTCCTCCGTGCCCAGCTTAGACACCAAGCTCCCTCAATAACTGTGACTTGCACCCCAACCCTCTCCCCACACCACTTACTGCCCCTGTCTTAAGTCGCCTGGCGAAGCCCCACCTTCAAACGCAACACGACATCTCACTCTGTGTCTGCACCTATATGGCAGAATGGGGTTGAGCAAAAACAGCCCGACAGGGGCTGCTGCTTGGAAATTGCACTCTGCCCTGTCCTGTCCCCACTGCCACCTGCTGGATGACGGTGTCCTGTGAGCACCGTTCTGCGTCTCCTCATGCAGCCTGGCGCTCAACTGTCGGATGTGCTTCCTAACTGCGAGAGTACTGTGCAGGCTGTGCTTCAAAAGAGAAAGACAAAAATTCCTGGGAGCAGCTGTAAAAGGTCTGGAGAAGAACATGATTTTTTTCATCTTAAAAATATTATTTTCATTTTATTTGAGAGAGAGAGAGGTCTTCCATCCATTGGTTCACTCCCTAAATGCCTACAACAACTGCAGCTGGGCCAGGCTGAAGCCAGGAGCCCAGAACTCAACCCAGGCCTCCCACGTGGGTGGCAGGGACCCAGGTGCTTGGGTCATGACCTGCTACCTTTCAGGTGCATTAGCAGGAAGCTGGATCACAAGTGGAGTAGCTGGGACTCAAACCGGGGACTCTGACATGGGACACACGTGTCCCAAGCAGTGATTTAAGCAACTGTGTGCCAAATGCCCACCCTGAGAAAGTTTTAAAATGATTTTTCCTCCCATGTTGAGGAGCGTGCAGAACAGGGACCCCTCCATGGGTGCTACCTCAGGAGAGACCGAGGTCAGGGTGCTTGGACAGCGTTTCCACTGACGGGTCTGTGTTTGGGCACTCTGAGTGTTTGTTTCACACAGGCTCTTCTCCTAGTGAGCTCCCAGGGAGCAAGGGGACGTGTGTCTCAGTGCACCCCAGCTGCCGTAACAAAACCCCAGAGCCAGTGGCTCGAGAACAGCAGGGATGGATTTCTCACAGTTCCCGAGACTGGGACGTCCAGGGTCAAGGCCGTGGCTGATTCAGCTTCTGGCGATGGCCCTTTCTGGTTCAAAGGTGGCAGCTTCCTGCTGTCTCTTCACACACCAGAAGGGAAAGGGAACTCTCTGGAGTCCCTGCAGGAAGGCTCCCCTCATGATCTGATCTCCAGGGACCCCACTTTCTGTCCCTATCACGTTGTTGACCAGGGTTCCACGTAGGGACTTTGCAGGGACACAAGCGTGCAGCCCCCAGCAGCGTGTCTGCCTGGTCCTGCCGTGTCCCCAGCTCATGCCGCCACATTGCTGAGTGAAGCCAAATGGAAAGTGAATTCAGCAGTGAGCTAGGTTTAGTCTGTTTTGGTTTCCTCTTGGGTGTATGTTTGGCTCTGGATTCCCAAGGAAAATGAGTGTGATCTGTTCATCTCCACCTTCCGCCAATCCCTGTGGGGCCATCCATGGGCTCTCTCTGAGGGCAGGTGTGTGGGGGAGGGAGCGGGAGCAGGGGGAGGGCGCTGGGGCTGGGCAAAGGGGGCAGCAGAACGGTCACATACATTACCTCCACACTCAGGCTGGGAGCCGCTCCACGAGCCGTTGGCCTGGCAGGTTCGCTCCGATGATCCCCGGAGCGCGTATCCGGCTTCGCAGCTGAAGCGCATCAGGCTGCCCGGAGCGAAGCTATCCCCCAGCCGGATGCCATGGGCCGGGATGCCGGGGTCGCCGCAAACCCCCACGCTGGTTCCTGTGCGTGAAAACCAAACAAAGCCCATTGTCTCCGCAAGGAAGAAAAGGGGGGTGGTCCTGGGAGAGAGAACGAGATTGAGCAGTCACCACCGGGAGGCAGTGAGCCCCAGAGTGGGACCCGGACAGGCTCCCACCTCATTACGCAACAGCAAGGACCACAAAGACCTGAGGTCCTGGGTGAGTTCCTGGGAACCACACGGGAACAGAAACAGGAAGGCAAGGAAAGGCGTGCTGTGGAAAGCCCACATTTGTTCTTCGGCCCGTACCGGAGGGGAGCCGCCACGGTCCAGAACGGACACAGCACCCCCTTCTCCCATTTACCTTTGCCCACTGACAGCCGCTGAGTCTGCGGCCCTGCTCTGTGCCCAGTGCCGCTGCCTCGGCCTAGACGCTCAACATCGTGTTGCCTGGACTCTGGCAGGATCCTCCAGGCTTGAAGTCTCTCTCACCCGCCTTCCACTTCATCCTCGGATCTGGACGGTGAACAGCCACCAGCCATAGACCCCGTCTTCCTGCAGCCATGTCCCTCCGGCTTCCCAGCACCTGCTCCCTAGCAAAGCTTCACCTTCTCAAGCGCTCACCCTAATCCTCACCCTGGGCTTGTTCACTTATTTTTATTTATTTAAGTTTAATTTTTAATTTTTATTTGAGAGGGAGGGATCTCATGTATCTGCTGATTCACTCTCCAAATGCCTGCAGCAGCTGGGGCTGGCCTGGGTCAAGGCCAGGAGCCAGGAACTCAACCCAGGCTCCCATGTGGGTGGCGGGAACCCAACTCCTTGAGACGTCACTGCTGTGCGTCAGGGTTTCCAGTAGCAGGAAGCTGGAGCCAGGGGCCAGCGTCAGGGATCGATCCCGGACACTCCAACATGGGACGCGAGTGTCTCAAGTGGGGTCTTCACACCTAGGCTAAACGCCCACCCACGGACTCACTTTAACCAACAAACAATAACTGTATGCACTCATGAGGTACAAGGTTGTGTTTTGATACATTTATTATTTATTTCAAAATAGTTAACAGAGCGGATTTTATGTATTCTCACTGTACACAAATGGTAAAGATTCGAGGTGACTGGTGCTGGGCCTTTAGCGTACCCTCTACTCACACACCCTGCGGTGAGTGAGCTCTAGGTGACGTGTCTTGTCTGTGACTTGTTCCTGGCCTCTAGCTGCATTCCTGCCTCTATCTGGCCTCGGAAAGGAGCAAATGCCCTCGGGACAGCAGGAGTGAGCTGCAGCCCCTGCAATGCTTCCCAGCTAAGGGGTGGAGAGGCGGCATCGTCCCATCAAACCAGGCCACGGCAAGCGGAGAGGGAGAATGTAGGACACATGGCCACCGCCCGAGGGGACAGAGCTTCTGGTTGTGATGGGACCTCTCCCCTTGTGGACCCATGTGGGCATCCACCAGTGCCCTGTGCGTCACTCAGTTCAGTTTGTTGGGGTTGCCCCACATCTCAGCCACACCCACCTCTGCCACTAGATCCCTGCCAGTCTCCCAGCCCCGGGCTCACTTCTGCTTCGTGTCCTCGGCCTGGGAGAGGGCCACCTAGCCCTGCGTTCCCGTTCTCCTCCCCTCACAGAAGGGACCCTCACCTAACCTTCGTGGGAACCCTCAGAAGAAGGGGGCCCACCGACTTTGCCTGGGGTTCTCTTGTTTTTCAAGTTCCCCAGCTGTGGCTCAGGCACTAGGCAGGGCTGGGACCCCTCCAAGGCAGCCTGGATGGTGAGCAGTTCTCACTCCCACGCTGGCTAGCTGACCTCGGCTGCAGCCGGTCCTGCTGGGAAACAGGCACGGGATGGGGTTCTCCTGTCCTGGGGGCTTGTTCTGCAACAGCAACAGTGCCGCCTGTAAGGAAACTGGCGCAGTTTTAGCCAGGTGGCCACAAGGCCCAGCTACCTGAGCCAGGTTCCACCCCCATCCTAATGGGATTCGCTGCTCCTGCTTCCCTGCCCGCCCTCGGGTGACGTTTTAAAAGGGCCTGTTCCTGAACACGCTTGACTCTTCTCTCTCAGTTCCTCTCTCTAGCCTCCTCCTCTGGTCTCTTGGTTCTTGGTTCTTCTCTCTTGGCTCTGCTCTCCTCTCTCCTCTCCTCTGCTCTATCTTCTCTCCTTGCTAGCTCCTCTCCTCTCTATCTCTCTTACAGTCTCCCTCTCTTTTTCCTTCGCCGCCCCTTCACTCCGGTCTGTAGGGTGTTCCCCAATAAGCCCTTTCCCTTACTCCGGTGTCCGGTGTGCTTTGTGACGGCTAACATTAAGATATAACACCGCCCACTGCAGTGTTAGGGGCTTCAAGGAAGTCTGGGATGGAAAATTGCACATCGGGGCAGAGCACACAGCAGGCCCAAGTCTGTCAGCAGGGAGGGTGAGACAGAGGAGGTGGGCCGTGAACCCCTCCGTGTGGGGCTCCATGTCCAGAAGTCTCTGCATGTCCTCGGTGCTCAGGGACTCAGGCGACCTTGCTCCACAGCATCTGGGCCTACTGGGTGCAGGGAATGAGGCTCAAAGTGGGACGGGAAATGTTTGAATGTATTTCGGGAAGGCAGGAACTACTTCTCTTGTATGCAGTGGTATCTACCTGGTGCTGTTTCCTGATGGCCTGTTTGACTTGTCTCCCTCTTCCTTACCTGAGGCATTTAAGGTTCACTCATTCCCCAGCTTCAGCATTTACAGACTCCCTTCTAATCCTGTCCCTAGCGGTCTCCAGGCAGGCGCTGCCCAGCCATCTGTCACCTATGCCGGACACACAGGGGAGACAAGGCTGCGCCCTGCTCCTCAGAATACGCAGCATCAGGCATGAAGCAGCCGAACACACATCCCCCGATGGCCGGGGTCCATGCCCTCTGGAAGCGCCTTTCTTGTTTCTTACTTCCCACGTCCCCGAGGCGTCAGCCCGTCTCCAGTCTCTCCTAACACTGCCAAGGAAGAGCTCCTTGCTCTGCATACAGGACCACGACTCAGGAAGCCTCAGAACAGGGACATCGAGGCCCAGAGGGCTTTGGAGGATCTCTAGCTTAGCTCCGATGCCACACGAGCACCACCTGATGTTCCCACGGGGGCCTCTTCCAGCCTCGGCTAGCACAACTCCACGGCAGGCAAGTTATAGCCTGGGACAGAGGACACTTTGGATTCCTTGCCACGGGACAGGAGTGTGAACACGTGACTGGGTCACACGTGCTAATGGGTAGGAAGCGCTCAAGGCTTTCCGTTAGCTTTCTTTCTCCTCTACCCTGTCCACCCCTTATCCACCGGGAGCAAAGAGCCCCCAAACAAATAGACCTTAAAGCACCATCAGCCGCGTGCCCTAGAGCAGTGTCTGCAGGAGGAGGTCTGGGCGAAGGAACTGTCTCCGAGGACATGGGGGCAGACATATGCTTGGCTCCCCTTCCTGCTGGGAGTGTCCTTTCCCCCTGGAACTCACTCTGGGCCCACCCAGGAGGCCTCACAGTGCATGACCCTGGCCCCTGTGCCACCCTCCCAAGTGACTCCCTCCAAACACAGAGAAGCCGCAGGCCCAGTCGGCAGGCCTTCCACGAGCTCACGCAGAGAAGTCCCCAGGGCACCCAGGCAGACCTGCCCAGTTCTCTAGCCCTGTGACGAGGGAGATTTATAGGGGCCAGAGGCCAGTGTCCTGGGTGGTCCCACAGAGTGCTGGGTCTCAGAGTGCTTTGGGCTTTCAGGGGGACCTACCAAACATCTGGCCCAGTATTCTGGCGGTGACCCCAATTTTGGCAGACAGGTTTATCTGGAGCCTCGGCCGCAAGGACAGCTGCCCATCTTACGAGGAGGGCCCACACCAGAGCAGCCTGCTGAATCAGGAGGTGGGGGATCCCCGCTTCTAGCAGGGAACAGGCATGGGCAGAGCTGGAGGGTTAATGTCAACGCCAAAATGGGATTCCTGCAGAACCTGAGCTCTGAGCAGCTGCCTCTATTTTTTTTGTTTTTTAATATTTTTTTTATTTATTTTCAAGGCACAATTACAGAGAAAGAAGGAGAAACAGACAGAAAGGTCTTCCATCTGCTGGTTCACTCCCCAGATGGCCACAAAGGCCAGGGCTGGGCCAGGCCGAAGCCAGGAGCCAGGAGCTTCATCTTGGTCTCCCACGTGGGTGCAGGGGCCAGGTTCTTGGGTCACCTTCCATTGCTTTCCCAGGCACATCAGCAGGGAGCTGGATAGGAAGTGGAGCAGCCAAGACTTGAACTGGTGCTCATATGAGATGCCCGTGTTGCAGGGCTGCTTAACCAGCTGAGCCACAGCGCTGGCCCCTCAGCTATCCTCTTGAGGGCAACAGACTGTAGAGGACCCCTTGCCAGGCTGGGCAGGCTCACTTCAAAAAGACAAAGCTGCAAGGAGCTCATTCTTTAGCTTGGTGGTTCCTGCTACCTGTGGGGCACTTTGCTCTTTGGTTCTGTGAGACAGCGTCTTACAGAGGAATTGCTGGTTTGGAGAACACGGGTGTGGGGGCCTGGCCATCTCTACCTTTGCTATTTTGATAGCAAGCCACTATGCTCATAGGTTAGCAGGAAGATGAATTTGTTCAGAGAAGTCTGGGGACTGCATAGTGTCTCAGGGCAGCAGGAAAGAGGACTGGCCCCCACTAAGCAGCTAGGGCAATGGGACAAGCAGGGGGAGGAAGCAAGCTGGGGCCCAGGAGTTTGAAACAGGGAAGCAAAGAACCCGGGTCGGGGGGGACCAGCATTGCAGTGCAGCCAGTAAAGCTGCCGCCTGTGATGCCAGCATCCCATATAGGCACTGGTTTGTGTCCTGGCTGCTCCACTTTGATCCAGCTCCCTACCAGAAGACGGCCCACATGGTTGGGTTCCTGGATCCTGGCTTTGGCTGGTCCAGCCCAGGCTATTGCAGCCATCTGGGGGAGTGAACCAGCAGACAGAAGATCTCTCTCTCTCTCTCTCTCTCTCTCTCTCTCTGTCTTGTCCTCTCTTTCTGTGACTCTGGTTTTTAAGTAAATAAAGTAAATCTTAAAAATAAATCTCAGGAGTGGGCTTGGCTGTGGACTAACAGAAAGGTTTGGCTGTTCCTGGGAGCTTGTGGAATTAAATATCTAGACAGGCCTGGCCGTAGCTGACTCACAAAGCTGTGCCCCTCCTACTTTTGCAATCTCTTGGTTCTATGGGGCCGAGCAGGGCTGACCACGAGAATGAAGCTGGGATGAGGCCACCAAGGGCTCACGTCCAGCTGGGCCATCTTCTAGCTGTGCTCTCCACCTGCGAGCGAAGGGTTTGATTCCCTCCCATCCATCAATCACACTCACACCTTGGGAGCCCATCCACTTCCGTTCCATGGGACCCTCCGCAGCGCCATGCTCCGTACCTGAGCAGTGGGGGAGGGAGCCAGTCCAGTGTCCATCCAGCCCACACATGCGTGTGGCGTTTCCCACCAGAGTCCGCTTGCCAGTGCAGCTGTAACGCACGACCGACCCCACGGTATAGCTGTCTCCTGACATCTGGGCGTGAGGCGGGGCGCCCGGGTGGCCACAGGACACCACTGCGGGGAAGAGCATACGTTTAAGCACCTCTGCTCAGGGCTGGGTCATCATCACAGAACCCACCCCAGGCTTCTTGCAGCAGGAGGCAGGGAAGAAGAGAGGCCTGCAGGTACGCACGGAGGCCCACCTGCAATGCTCAGCCACCTCACCGTACAGTCCCCACGCCTGGGGAGCAGGGAGAGTAGTGCTGACTCAGTAGGTGGTAGGTCCACAGTATCTGTCTCCTTTCTGTCTCGTCTCTGGGCTCACCTCCCCGCAACCCCTCACTGCCACAGGAACACTGCAGATGTCCCTGGGCAGACAGACGATCCACATGGTGCCCTGGAGACACTGGGAGACCTGGCATCCAAGGATCATCTTAAGTGGTCTTGGGGTCCAAAATGAAGGCCAGTGATGGTTCTTTTCCAACTCTGTCTTACAGGTGCATCTTAAATTATCCCCAGCTCATCCATTTAAGTCTGCAAATTCCCTTTCCTGAATCACCAAGTATAAATATGAAAGCCAGTGGTCGGGTAAGAACACGAGAACTGAGATGGACTGGCCGGGGCGGGATGGGGCTGTTGCATCACTGGGCTTGGCCTTCCCATCACTCTTGACACAGGTTGGCTGATCCCAAGGTTCACTGACTCAGCTCATTTTATTGAGCATCTATTATGTGCACTGTTCTATGTGTTTGGGAGAACGAAGCCCATGTGCTCACTGAGATTATCTTCCAGTGAGGAGGAGAGACTGCAAAGAAGAAAATGGGTCATTCCAGGGGGTTCTGGGAAGAAAAAGAGAGCTGTCCCAGGAAAAGAGCATTCTGGGGTGAGGTGAGGGCGCTGTGTTTGAACAGGGAGGTTGGGAAGCTCTCTCCATGGGGTGACGTCTGACCGGTGGCTGGAATGATGTGAAGAGGCCACTTGGGCAGAATCTGGAGGAAGAGCGCCCAGAGGACAGGAGCGCCAGGCACAGAAGCCCAGTGGCCAGAATGAGGGCCAGCAGGGAAGCCGGGATGCTGGACAGAACGAGCAGGGGAAGAATGAAGACATGGTGGGGGCGGGGCACTGGGAGCCAGGGCACGGCACGGCGGGGAATTCAGGTTCCACTGTGAGCACAGTGCGGAGGCGCGAGGGGCAAGGTCCGATTTCCACTTGATCAGGCTCCGTCTGGCTGCTGAGGGGAGAGAGGCCAGGCTGCGGCAAGAGAGAAGGGGCAGTGGTTCAAGAGGAGATGAAGAAGACCCGGACTAAGTCTTGGGGTCTGGTGGGAGGTTCTTCTAGTCAGCACTTCTGTGCGGACAGGACGGCCTGGGTACTGGCCAGGAGAGGTGACCAAGGGTTGGGCCCACACTGATCATGTCCCTGATGATGTCACTGCGGCAGAGTGCAGGGATGGCTCGCAGGTCTCCGGTGTGAGTACGTCCTCACTTCTCACGGTGGTCTCGGTAGGCACCCAGGTCTCTTTTAAGTGCCTGTGGCAGACGGATCTGCAAACACTACTGCTGAGGATTCCTCCCATCAGGGGGTGGAGTCTGTTTCCCTCTTGTATCTGACCTAGACCTGTGACTGGCTTTGAATGATGGACAGCACTGGAAGCGTCACTGGGCCAGCTGCAGCCTATGGGGTCCAGATACCTCTGCCTTCCTTTCTTGGAATACTATTGCCGCTGTGTAAGGCAGTCTGGCCTGAACTCCTGAACAAGAGGACATCACGTGCGGAGAGCGCCCACGGACAGAACACGCACAGTTCTCTCAGCAGCAGCCAGCACCGAGGTCTTGACATTTGCCTGCAGGCATCTTGGCTCTACTAGGTTCAGCTGACCTACAACAATCAACAGCGATGAGCTGTCTCTACTAAACCCTACCCAAGTGGCCAATCACAGACAATGAAATGCTTGTTGCCACCTACTGTTTGAGTAATTTGCCGCACAAGAGATAAGGGAAACAGAATGGGTAAGTTTCTGGGGATCCTGAGGGCCAGGGGCAGTGTCCTGTGCATGAGGGGGATGTGACCTTCGGTGCTCAGAGGCTACTGTCTACAAGAATGGCCACTAATGTTCCCCATCCCTGTGCACATGCCACTCCTCCCATTCCAAGAGCTGCAAACAGGTATTTCCTGTCCTCCTGCATCTGGGCTGGCCTTGTGACTTGCCTTCATCAACAACTTGGGGTGGAAAAGAGGCCTTGAGAATTTCTGAGTTCTGGGCTTGAGAGATCCTCTTTTGCTCTAGCCTCCAAAAATGAAGAAGAAGCCACTCCACGTGGAGAGGTCAGCCACACAGAGAGGTCAGCCACACGCAAAGATCAACCTCCTTCTCAGCCAACCACCACCAGCAAGGCCCCCAACAGGTACGCATGGCTGTCTGGCTTCTTGGTCCTCCTGGAGAGATATGGGGCCGGGATGTTAGTTTTATGTGTGAATTTGACTGGGCCACAAGGTGTCCAGATATTTAGTCCAACATTATTCTAGGTGTTTCCCTGTGGGTGTTTCTGGGTCAGACTAAGCACATTGCCCTTCCTAATGAGAGAGGACCTCATCCGATCCTTGAAAACCTGAACTGGACACAAAGGTGGAGAAGGGACTTCTCTCTGTCTGCCTGTCTTTCAGCTGGGACGTCAAGTCTTCTCTGCCGTCTTCAGACTCAGACTGGAACTTGGACCCTTAGCTCTCCTGGGCCTCCGGCTTGCCGACTGGAGCTCTTGGGATTCTCAGCTTCCACAGCCATGTGAACCAGTTCCTTTTGGCATATATATATATATATATATATACACACACTATATACACTATATATATATACAATATATACACACACTATATACACTATATATATATATACACTATATATAGTGCGTAAGTATCTCTCATCTATGTCTCCATCTCTATAGATAGAGACAGAGATCTGTGTATAGAGATACAGATTAGATATCTGGATCTAGGTCTAGATCTATCTCCTCTTGGCTCTGTTTCTCTGGAGAACCCAGATTAACACACCCGCAAAGCTGTATCTGAGTTTCTGGCCCAGAGAACTGTGAGGAAACAACAGTGGTTGCTATGTAAAGCCACTTAGCTTTACTACTCAGCAACTGATAACTCAAACAGGAGGTGCCAAGGGTTATGTGGTTTATTCCTTAGCACAACTCTGTGAGGCAGGCGCCCTTTTAATCTCCACTTACTGAGGAGGAGAACGAGGCATGGCGAGGCTAAGAAACCTGCTGTGGACCCACGCACTGGAAGAGTCAGCTGGGAGACCGCAGTTGGACTGAGAGTCCACACGCTCACGTGTGCTAACGGATCCCCTCTGCAGCACGGCTTTTGCGTGCCCACCGACGTCCCTTCTTCTGAAAGGAGCGGAGTCCCCAGTCACCATGTAAATAAGCCCATGGTTTATTAAAGGTTTGTGGGCTCCTAGAAATCATCCTATCTTAACGTGCTAACAGTTTCCCAAATGTATTACTTTCTAGTGGAAGTCAACACACCTACAGAAAACACAAACGTTGCATGTGTGCAGCTTCATGAATCGTCACGAACTGAACACACAGATCACATGCAGGTAACCACAACCCTCCAGTCAGCAAACATGACATGCTCTCCAGAAGCTCCTCGTGCCCTCCACCTCTCACCCCTTCTCCCCCATCACCCCTCCCCCCACCTCCTCTACTCTCAGCCCCTCTCCACCTCTCACCCCCTCTCCTCTCACCCCTTCTCCCCCATCACCCCTCCCCCACCTCCTCTACTCTCAGCCCCTCTCCACCTCTCACCCCCTCTCCTCTCACCCCTTCTCCCCATCACCCCTCCCCCACCTCCTCTACTCTCAGACCCTCTCCACCTCTCACCCCTTTCCTTTCACCCCTTCTCCCCCATCACCCCTCCCCACTACCTCCTCTACTCTCAGCCCCTCTCCACCTCTCACCCCTTCTCCCCATCACCCCTCCTCCACCTCCTCTACTCTCAGCACCTCTCCACCTCTCACACCCTCCTCTCACCCCTTCTCCCCCATCACCCCTCCCCCCCACCTCCTCTACTCTTACCCCCTCTCCACCTCCCCAATGGCAGCCACTGTCTTGATTCTGTACTACCAGCGATTAGGTCTGCCAGCCTTGCTTTTGCACTTTATATAAATGGGATCATATTCTACACAATTTGTATTTGGCTTCTTTCCCTCAACATTCTGTTTATGGAATTCACCTATGCTGTGTGTAGCAATAGTTCACCCATCACTGTTCCAGGATAGTAGGGTTGGCAAGCTTTCTGTCAGGGGCAAGAGAGTGACCATGTTAATCTCTGAGGGCCATGTACAGTCTCTGATCCACATTCTTCTTCCTCCTCATTAAAAAAATAATTTAACAGGAAGGATGGTTTATCTGACCTTAGAACAGTGACTACTGGGGGCTGGAGGGGAGGGTACAGGGAGATAGAGGCTGGGTCATGGCTACCAAACGGAGCCACACTGAAGAATTAAGTCCCCATGTTACGTAGCACAGTGGGGTGACTGTGGTTCACAATGATGTATTATATTCTCTATCAAGACCTGGAAGAGAGGATTTGGTAGGCTCCAAACACAGAGAAAAGATAAGGAAATGAAAAGCCGGCTGCCTGGCTTTATCAGTTTCCTCCGTGTATGTCCTGAAATATTGCACTGCATCCTATAAAATGCACAAGTATTTCCTGCCAGAAATTTCTAATAAAATAATATTAAAAAGCAGAATTAAAATGATCCACACGAATTATACACACACACACACGCTTTGGTCCCTGCACATCCATACAAATTAAAGCAGTTTGCTTTCACCTGGAAGGAACAGGTGATTTTCACCGAGTGGCTTCACTCTGGGAGTGTACAGTCATCTGTAGTTCCCCACAGCCCTGGTCACAGGTACTTGCATCTTCTAGATGCAGAAATGCAGTTAGTCCACTGAAGCAAGGCCATGGTAACCACCAAACATTACTGAAAATGTTCCTTACTGGGAGCCAGAGGAAAAAATAGACAAATTGGACTTTGCTAAAATTAAAAACCAGCATGCAGCAAAGGATGCAATCAAGAAGATAAAAAGACAATCCCCCAAATGGGAGATAATATTTGTCAACCCTGTATTTGATTGGAGTGAGGTATCCAGAATACAGATCTGTTACAATGGAACAATATCAAGACAAATGACCTCATTTAAAAATGGACTTGAATATACATTTCTTCAAAGGAGATACAAGGACAACCAATAAGCATATCAAAGGTGCTCTATGTCACTGGCCATTTGGGAAATGCAAAATAAAACCACAAGGAGCTACCAATACACATCTACTAGGATCCACAGTCATATCCACAGTCACATGGTGGAAAGAGATGGATAACAACATGTCTGTGTGAGGCTACAAAGAAGGTGGCGCCCTTACACACTGTTGACATGTGCGGCCACTTTGGAAAACTGTGCAGCCACTTTGGAAAACATTTAGGCAGTCCATCAAAAAATTAATGCAGAGTTATCACGTGACTCAGCGATTTCATTCCTGAGTATACACCCAAGAGAATCTTCAACTCATGTTCACACAAAAACTTGCATACAGATGTTGTCAGCAGCCTAAGGGAGCCTACGATAGCCTGGAGGTTGACACATCCATCAGCAGATGGATGGATACGCAGGCTGCTGTGGCCATCTAACAGGACGGTTTTGGGCCATAAGAGGAATGAAGTGCTGACACCTGCCAAAACATGGGTGGGTGCTGAGAATTACGCTGAGTGGAAGAAACCGACACAAAAAGCCGCGTATGCGTCCACTGATATGAAACGTGCAGAACAGGCACGTCCATGGAGACAGGAAGTAGATCAGTGGTTACGGGTGGGGGGGGGGAAGGAGCGGGGACTAAGGAATGACAGCTACAGGTTTCCTTTTGTGTTGCTGAGAATGCTCTGCAGGTAGAGGGCGCTGATGCTGTGCAACCGTGTGAGTGGATTAAAATCACTGAGCTGGATTCCTTAAAAGATTGAATTTCACGGTCTGTGAATAGTGAATCACATCTCACCGCAGAAAAAGAGAAAAAACACAAATGGATGGAATCTTCCAGGGGAAAGAAAATGTTATCAGATAGGTTTTAAAACCCTCACAGTTATGTGCTTTTTACAAACAACAGGCAAAAGTGACATGATAAAAGCACATTATGTATTGCTTGTACATGATATTAATATGATGACATATTAACATCATACAGATGTTAACATTAACATCTGGTAAGATAAGCGTTGGAATAGAGGTTAATACAGATAGTAAAAGCTTCATCTCATCAGAAGGTGGGACACTTTGAACCCCGGGGCCCTGAATCGCAGCTGGCCTCCTGCACACAGGTGAGCGTTCACCTCCAACCCCCAGCACCTAGCTGGATGGCCAGGGTGGGGTCCTGAGTAGCTGTAGCAGCCGCCACTACACCTCCAGGCACAAGGGCGCAAGGAGGTGGAGGCTCCTGGACTGCAGGGCCTGTGAAATGCCCACCAGGGACGGGGGACTGTGTGCACCTCCATCTGGACTACTAGGGGGATGTGGGAGGGATGTGCATTTAGGGGCAAGAGGAACAGGAGACCAAGGGGGCTGCTTTTCTCGCATGTGGAGTGTGAGGCCAGCAACCGGATCTCAGGAGCCCAAGCACATCCCCTCCTCCCCTCCCATTTTACATGTCGCCCCCACAGCCTCTCCTAAGACCAATTCAAGCCATTCTGGTTCACGGTTTACGGAGCAGCTTCTGTGTACCAGGCACTAGGTTGGGCGCTGTGAGTGGCTTCTCCCATTTAGTCCACCAACCATCCCGTGAGCTAAGTATCAGCGTCATTTTGATGGGTGAAGGAATGCAGGCTGTGGGAGAAGACTTCACCAGAACCACTCAAGCTTGCCAAGTGGCAAAGCCAGGATTCCAGTGCCGGTGGGTCTGGACTATTTCCGCTTCAGTCCTTCAAACGTAAGGGGCTCCCGTGTCATCTTTCTGGAAGAGCCGGCAAGGGATGAAAAGGGGAGATGGTGTCCTCTAGGCAGCCAGCTCTATAGGCAGGGGACCCTGAAGGTGGCAGAGGTCAGTGGCGGGTGCGGGAGGAAGAACAGGCCGGTGGCCAGGAAGAAAGAGAAGGGCTCTGGTATCCAAGGAGCAGCCAGACTGACTGCCATGGTGACGCAATACACGTACAAATGCGCGTGTGCACACACACACACACACACACGCGCGCGCAGGTGCGCATAGACACGCCCCAGAGGGACCATGCCAGCAGTCCCTTGGGGCAGACGACAGGTACTTACAGAGACACTGGGGGCGGGGGCGGTCCCACGTGCCATCGCCCTGGCAGCTGAGCACAGGGGTGCCCAGCAAGTAGAAGCCGTGGCTGCACTGGTAAGACACGGTGGTGCCGTAGCTGAACCTGTGCGGGCCGCTGGCGTGCACCTGGCGGATGCTGTTTTCTTGGTGCCCCGGATCTGTACAGTTGATGACTGCAATCAAACAGGACAATTAGAAAGCTGGAGGAGAGGGTCTTCCGAAGCCCTGGAGTGACAGCTCAGAAGTTCGGACAGGGAGGCCCTGCCTGGAGGGGGCGGGGGCGGCACAGTGGGTGCTGGTCCTGAGCTGCCGGTCCTCCTCCGGCACCGCCATCACTGGTCAGGAAATCGTCCTTTCCCGACCAGCTGGGCAGCAGCTCTTTACAGAGCCTCCCCCTCCCCCTCCCTCTTCAGTGCTCCTGGCACAAACCCTACTGCTGACTTCGCTGGCCTGGATTGGGATTTATTCGAATTTACACGTCGCTTGTCTCTGTGTGCCCCGGGTCACTTGCACAGAGCTCATTCGTGGTAGAATTGAGGCCCTGAGCTCACCTGGACGGGGGGAGGGCTTCTTTGGAAACTGTTTTAGCCTTACTTCTAGGAGTATTTTGGGAAGACGGTAATATCCTGGGGGCAGAATCTGCCTTTAGAATGTTAAAGGGTGGGGCTGGCCCTGCGGCACAGCAGGTTAAGCCGCCGTCTGCAATGCCGGCATCCCATCTGAGCACTGGTTTTGTTCCAGGTTGCTCTACTTCTGATCCAGCTCCCTGCTCCCTGGAAGCAGCAGGAGGTGGTCCAAGTACTCGGGCTTCTGCCACCCATGTGGGAGACCTGGATGGAGTGCCAGGCTCCTGGCTTTCGCTTAGTCCAGCCCTGGCTGTTGTGGCCATGTGGGGAGTGAAGCAGTAGATGGAAGATCTCTCCTTCCCCCCATCCTGTAACTCTGCCTTTCAAATAAATAATCTTTTTTTTTTTTTAAGAGAAAAAGGATTTGTGAAGCATCTTAACTCAGAGTCAGACTGAGATGTTAGAATAATGACAACATTGTTCGTCGCCCATGACTGGCACTTTTGCTCTTGCAACGTCTTCCCATCGGCTCACAGGAGTCTCACAGTCATCACAGCAAGTGGGAAGGGACGAGCTGTGTACAGAAGCTTTGCTACGCCTTCGAGGTCTGTAAGGCAGCGGCACCTCTCCCGAGGCCTCACTGCTTCACTGCCGTGGGAAGCCCGGCTGTCTCTTAGTCTGCACGGGGCCGAGACATGCTCAGCCCGTCTGTGGTTCCACCTTGCTTCCTTCCTTTTCTCTTTTCCTACGCACTCTTACCCTTCGTCTCTGCCTTTAGGTTTCCATCCCAACCCTGCTGCTTTAACATAATTTCTGTCAAGAATGCAGCTCTAGTGAATGTGGTTACGAAGGAGCTGCAGCAGCCATTCTGCACCCATGAAGAAAGGCCAGGATGTGGCTCTTGTCCTCCCTGAGAAGCTGTGGAAATAACAGAACCTCGGGATTTCTTGTTGATGTCAGAAAAACAAGCCTCTTCTTGCTAAAAAAAAGAAGGGGGGGGAATGTGCTTCTATATGGTGTTGATCACTTGTTTTCCTATGGATTGTAACCAAGGAGACTTGAAAGAAGACACTAAGTCTTACTTCCGAGGAGAACCCACGGCTGTGTCCAGGGGCTGAGAAAGTCCCTGTTTGTGACCCTTCTCTGCCCCAAGTCTTGCTGGCCCATCTGAGTCAATGTGATGTGGGGACGGAACTCACTGGCACCTGCTCCTGGGCTGCAGTGCCCCAGCGAGCAGAGTTGGTGGGGAGTGCAGGGGGCGGGCAGGGCGACTCACTTCTGCAGGTGGGCAGCGCGTCGCTCCACTGGCCGCTGGCCAGGCACTGCGACCTGGCAGCCCCCTCTGCCACGTACCCAGGGTTGCAAACAAACTTGACCACGTCGTTGAGGTTGAACTGGTTGCCCTGAGTGAGGCCGTTGATGGGGTTGCCTGGGTGTCCACAGGTGATGGCTGTAACCGAAACAGACGACAGGCAGTAAGCCCTCCTGGGAGGCCACACCTCCTTTCACGGGGCCTTCTTCAGGCACCTCAGTGTGGTTCAGCGCTAAGCACAACTTAGTCTCCTTTGCCGTAAAAACTCTGTTTCCAGAAACTGCCACGGGCACAGGCCCCCTCCCCCGCAGATTGGACAACTCAAGAAGAAGCTTTGCCCGACTTCCCACAGGGCCCTGAGCAGCTCTCTGTGGCCGGGGTTGACAGTCCCACCTTACTGCCTCTGGTCCTGATGGCCCCAGCTCCCCATCCCCACCCTTCATAGGTGGACACAGCGATGAGAGGCGTCAGGGACAGGAGCTGCCGAGTGTAGACTGCTTCCTGTCCCTGCCTCCCGCAGCCCTCGCTGGGCCCCGTCACTTCCTCTGCCCAGGAATCAGAGTAGCCTGCCTGCCTGTCCAGGGAGGAGGGCGCCCACTTTCCTGGCTGGCTCTGCCTTCCTCCACTCAGGGCCCAGCCGCCCTCAGGGAGCAATGCCCTCAGCGGCTCCCCTGGAAGCCGCCTCTCCCCAGCCCGGGGCTGCTCATGCCTGGGCGAGTGAATCCTCCCATCCGGCCCTCGCAAGCCCCAGTGGTCTCCTACTTTGCCCTTATTGGTAACAGAGGTGATATCTGGGCCTCCTCCCCCACCCCCGACTGCTTTGGTCACGACTTGTTCAGACGTGGGCAGGGAAGGGCTTGAGGACCCTGTGCGCGCAGGTCTGGCCTCCGAGCTCCTGCTGAGCCCTCAGCTCTCTCTGCCTCCCTGCAGGGGTGCAGCTGACTCCACCCAGCTACACTGGCCTCTGTGAGGTTTCTCAAACACACCAAGCAAAGTCCTACCCCAGGGCCTTTGCGCTTGCTTCCATGTCTGCCTGGAGCGCTGTGCCCTCAGATATGCCAGGCTGCCTGCCCTCATAGCTTCAGGTTTCCCCTTAAATGTCACCTGACCAGTGAGGCCTTGCCCTCCCCAGTGAACCACACCCCCAGCACAGCCAGGCCCCGCGCCCTGCTCTGCCATTCTCTGCAGCGCCATCATCAAGCCAGCCACCACAAACGCACTCAGAAACGTGTTTCCTGCCGGCCTCCCTTCCCCTGCACGTGAGCCCAGGGCGGCAGGGACGCTGGTGGATCGCTGGATCCTCGGTGTCTGTACCAGCGTCTGACTCTCACCAGGAGCTGGAGAAGCGTGTGCTGAGCGAAGGAGCAAATGAGTGGGTGCAGCACTGCTGGAGGCCCGGGCTCCTGCCTGGCTCCTTAGTCCTCAGCTCTACATAGGCCCTGCCTGGCCTGGGTCTGCCGCGACGGAACTCCTCCCGGATGTGTTGGCCAGACCTCTCCCTTTGCTCTGGGTTTCAGCTGTGAGAGGATGAGCAACCCCGAGGGATGCTCTCGGGGCCCAAGCCTCGGATCCAGGAAAACCTCCCCCTAAGCCAGACACTGGGCATCAGACTCACGTGCAGGACCGCTGCTGCCTTGCAACGGTCGGGCCCTGCCTGGCCCGGGCTCTCGCTCACAGCCCCAGCCCCAGGCCCTGTGTAGGGAGCAGAGGGGCAGGAGCAGTGCTGCCTCCCGCACCCCTGTGAGCTCCTGTTCCTCTCTTGGGCCTGGGCTTGCTGCCAGTGTCAGATCTCCAGATGGCACTGCCCAGATCTGGGGACGCTTCCTCAGGGCCTAGGAGCAGAGCTGCTAGGGACTGGGATTAGCGGGGACAGGACCCAGACTGCGGGGACAGGACACAGAGTGCAGCGGCTTTGCGGCTCTTGAGGGGGCAGGAGGGCAGCAGAGTTGGCAACTCCTCTGAGTAGCATGGAGGAGTGATGGTTTCTTTCTTTTTTCATTTTTAAAAGTTTTAATTTATTAGAGAGATAGAGAGGGAGGGAAGGTGAGGGAGAGGGAGAGATAGAGGAGGAGGGAGGGAAGGGAGGGGAGAGAAGAGAGAGAGAGAGAGAGAGAGAGAGAGAGAGAGAGACTCCCATGCACCAGTCCACTTCCAAATGCCTGCAATGGTTGGGGGTGAGCTGGGACCAGACTGGGGCCAAAGTTTGGAGGGGCTCAATCCAGGTGTCCTGCATGGGTGGCAGGGACCCAACAACTTAAGCCTTGCCACTGCCTTCCAGGGTCTGCATTAACAAGAAACTGGAATTGGGAGTGGCACTAGGAGATGGGAATCTTACCCAGTGCCTTAACCGCTAGACCACTGCCTGCCCAGTGGCGGTTAAATTTAAGTTATGAATTTGGCCAGTCCATGGTACCCAGATAATTGGCCAAACATTATTCTAGAAGTTTCTGAGAAGGTATTTTTTAGATGAGCTCCCATTTAAGGCAGGAGAATGTGAGAGCAGCGTGTGGCCCTCCACACTGGGTGTGGGCCTCCTCTGACGAGTGGAAGGCTTTGATACAGAAAGTCTGCTTCCGGGACAGAAGAGGGAGTTCTGCCTCGGTCTCCGACCTGGGCGTGGGCCGCAGATTTTAGACTTTCTGACCTCCCCTATACATCTTTCTCTAGACAATACCTGCAGGTCCACTGTTTTTGTTTCTCTGAGAGCCCTGACCTAATGTAGGCTGACAAGGGGAGAGGAGGGAGGAGGCACCGCTCAGAGGAAAGCGGGGGTGCTGCCGAGATGCGAGCGTGGGCATAGGCACATTCCTTGCCCTGGATTTTCCTAGGGCAGAGACCCCAGCATGCTTGATTCGTGTTTACCCGCAACATCTAACACAGAGCCTGCTATACAGCAGGTGCTAAGGAAGTGCCGGAAGTAGCAGACGGAAGGGCAGGGGGAACGGAGAAGAAAGTTAGGAATAGAACAAGCTCACTGCAGAGGCAGTGGAAGGGGATCCAGGGAAAGATTCTGCTATTGAGGTGGGAGGGAAGAAGGCAAGACAGACGCAGACAGGACAGGTGTGTGGCGGGGACGCAGGAAGTGGGAGGAATGCTGGTCTGGCGGCTTCTGTCGTCTTTCTCAACGTCTACGGCTGGCGAGGCTACCTGGCTGTCTCCCGATGCTCGCTGGGGTCTGGACGCATGGGCTCGTGTCATTCTTGCAAGCCTGTGAGGTAGGCATCGTGTGTATCTCCTTAGGGAAAGAGAAGGTCGGGGCGCCAAGGGACACGCTCGGGCTCCTAAGTGGCTCCTCCAAGTTCTGAACCCAGGTCTCCTGACTCCAGGCCATCTTGGAGCTGTGTGCTGAGAGGAGAGGCAAAGGCGGGGAGCAGGGGTCCCCACAGAAGCACTGCCACCGCAAAGCGGCAGGCAGGAGATGGGTGGGGAGTTGGGCCGATCCTGGAGACCACGGATCTGCGCGCCATGGCGGCTACCACAAGGCCTGGCTCAGGGGAGACACTCAGAGATGGTTACTGTTTCACCCTTGCCTTCCTCCTCCAGACTCCGGGAAAGTCTCTGTGCTCCCGGAGTGACCAGGGCTCGGGAGGAGAGGACCGGATTCTGTGACGGACAGGACCGCACTGTCATCACCGATCGTCATGGCAATAATGACCACGACAGTGGCGGCAGCCAACCCTGCCCATCTGGCTCAGGCACTGCCCTAGGCGCTTTCGACTACTTCCTCTTCACAGAGGAGCCTGAGACCCGGTGAGGATGGCTGACCTGTCCAGAGTTCTGTGGCTCCATGGTGTCTGGATGTGGGCAGTCGTGGCCCACAGCGAGTGCCTGCTTACTTTACCCCATGGCCCACGGGCAGGTGTTTGGTGCAGCGGTTAAAACACCGCACAGCACACCTGCGTCCCATATTGGAGTGCCCGGATTTGATTCCTGGCTCTGCTCCTAATTCCGTCTTCCTGCGCCTGCACACAGGAGGACTTAGCAGGTGACAGCTCAACTAGTGGAGTCCCTGCCACCCAAGTAGGAGAAACGAGAGAAAAGAATTGAGTTTTGGGCTCCTGGCTGCTCCAGCTTCACCTGTTGCAGGCATCTGGGGAAGTGAACTAGCAGATGGGAGACCTCTGTCTTTATCTGCCTTTCAAATAAATGAAGTACTAATGTAAGCATTAACAAATACAGCCCAGGCCTAACCTAGAATGTCTTTGGGCTGGGCAGGCAGTCTCCGGCCAGAGCCCCACGCTTGCTATTTTTAGAGTTTAAATCTCTTCCCACATTGTGTGCCAATTTTCTTGGAGCTTCTGCATTTGCATCTTCTGGATGAACCCAAATATATTCTGCTCAGACCTGTCTGAGGGGATGACTGATTACGGGCAAGTCGTGATTCCCGTCAATCTAGCACTTTAGAAACCACTCATGGTTATCTGGGGGGTGGGCATGCGGCCCAGTGGTTAAGCTTCTGGTCTGGAAGTCCACATCCTGTTTCAGAGCGCCTGGGTTTGAGCGCCAGCTCCATTCCTGATTCCAGCCTCCTGCTAATGCACACTCCGGGAGGCGGCAGGTGTTGACTCAAATAGCTGGGTTCCTACCACCCACGTGAGAAACCTGGGTGGAATTCCTGGCTTCCGGCTTTGACCCGGGTTAGTCCTAGACTTTACGGGCATTTGGGGGAGCGAATCAGTGCATGGAAGCTCTGTCTGTCTCTGACTCTCAAAATAAATACAAAAATTTCCTATAAGATTAATTTTCATGCATGGCTTATTGAGCAAGTCTCACTTTACTGTCCTATCCCCTATATGAAAAGCCAGATGAAGAGAATTAAAAAAAAATTTGCCTTACAAATTTAAGAAAAAAAAATCTGCACTTTACATAAAGGCTCACTCTGGGGAATTTTAGAAAGTGATGAATTTTCCAAATGACTTCTGAGGACAAGAGGGGCCACTTCAATCTCAAACAATGCAGATGCACAAGCAGAACAAATGAAAGGAGAGAAAGCTCAGGCCGACTGCATAAATCAGAGAGAGAGAGAGAGAGACAGAGAGAGAGAGAGAAGGCCGCGAGCTGTAAATTCTGTGAGCAGAGACATAAACACAACCCAGGCCGAGCTGCTCCTCACGCTCCTGTGGCAAGCTAAGCTTCTG